CCAGCATGGGTAACAAGAGCAAAACTCCGTCTCAATAAAAAGAAAGAAAGAAAGAAAGAAACAGGGGTTGAAGAATCCCTTTATATAATCCTCTATATATAACTGTATAATAGTTGATAGTATGAATGCCTAAAGGATATTTCCCTACATATATACCTATAATTATATCTTAGTTCATAATCAGAGGAATGCCTAGAGTGGACACAGTACAGAGCATGAATTACGGAATAAGCAGCTTATAATCAGAGGAATGCCTAGAGCAGAGACAGTGCAGAGCATGATTTAAGGGACAAACCGTTATACCAGGACAAGAATCCATGGCCCAGGTGGCAGCGTTCATTATCGTAAAGATACCCACTGTATGGCAGGCTTGGGGTGAGAGCCACTCCTCCTGATAAAGTAGCTGTAGGACCTTGCTCCAGTTCTTGTGGAAGGCTGCCCTCAGACCAGCAATCCACCTTGTGACTGTGAACTTTATCAGCTCTTGCTACTGTGCTGCTTGAAAAGCATCTTCCCATAGAACCCATTGGAAGCTGCCAGAAGGTAGCGGTAACCTTGACAGCTCTGTCACTGCAATGTGACTTAAAGCATCCTCTTATAAATCTTCTTAGAAGTAGTTTGCCCAGGGCCGGGCGCGGTGGCTCAAGCCTGTAATCCCAGCACTTTGGGAAGCCAAGGCAGGTGGATCACGAAGTCAAGAGATCGAGACCATCCTGGTCAACATGGTGAAACCCCGTCTCTACTAAAAATACAAAGAAAATTAGCTGGGCATGGTGGTGTGTGTCTGTAAGCCCAGCTACTCAGGAGGCTGAGGCAGGAGAATTGCCTGAACCCAGGAGGCGGAGGTTGCGGTGAGCGGAGATTGCGCCATTGCACTCCAGTCTGGGTAACAAGAGCGAAATTTGGTCTCAAAAAAAAAAGTAGTTTGCCCATAGACAGAAGTATTGCACACTGCACCCTCTTCACTGCGCACGGCCCACCTTCAAGCCTCGGTGACCTAATGGGGGTGGACCCCTTACTGCACACGGCCCTTGCCTTCATGGGAACGGGCCCCTTGCTGCGCACTGTCCCCGTCCTGGACTAGGTGACCTAATGGGGGTGGACCCCATGTTTAATTGCTCACGACGCTATCACTATCCTTAAAGATTATTTCACTCACTGCCCTAACCCCTAACCTATACACAAGAAATACTCATGCTTCTGGACATTCCAGGCCTCACCGGACTCCACTGAGAGGTGGCATGGCCCCCTGAGCCCAGCTGCGTTTTCCTTGTACTTCTGTGTCCTGTCTCTTTATTTCTCGGATCGTGTGCCTCAGCACAGCATAAGGTTCACCCCACGACCCTGTGGGGCCCTCAGCCCTACACCACCTTCTCTGAACAGTGACCCTCCAGTAAGAAGCCTGTCGATACTCTTTGTTTGCTACCTCCTGCCGCTGCTAACCTGTCAAAGCACATCCCAACTAAAGCTTGTATGCCACTGCCACCTTGTGGTCACAGCTTTTTCCTTACGCAGCCAAGAAATCACTTGAACACCCTACATGTGGGTATGATTTCATTTTTCATTTAGATCCCTAGTTCATTCTTGTATATGCTGTGACATATAGATTTAATTTCATCTTTTCTCAGATGGTTAACCAGGTGTCTTAGACCTTCCATCACGAATGGGATTTTTTGCCCCATCGATCTGAAACACCACTTTTTTTTTTTTTTGAGACGGAGGTTTGCTCTTGTTGCCCAGGCTGGAGTGTGCAATGGTGTGATCTCAGCTCACTGCAACCTCTGCCTCCCGGGTTCGAGCGATTCTCCTGCTTCAGCCTCCCGAATAGCTGGGATTACAGCCACCTGCTACCATGCTTGTGTAAATTTTTTTGTATTTTAGTAGCGAGGGGGTTTCATCATATTGGCCAGGCTGGTTTTGAACTCCTGACCTCAAGTGATCCTCCCAAAGTGTTAGGTTTACAGGCATGAGCCACCGCACCTTGCAACACACCACATCTATGAACCAAATTTCTACATGTTCTTGGGTCGATTTTTAGATATTTTATTAGTCTGTTTCTGCTTCATATGCTAGTACCACATAGTTTTAATTATAGTGGCTTTATAGTAGGTTTTATTTTTATTATTAAAATAATTTTTTTTGGAGGGATGGAGTCTCGCTCCATTGCCCGGGCTGGAGTGCAATGGTGCCATCTTAGCTCACTGCAAACTCTGCCTCCCAGGTTCAAGTGAGTCTCTTGCCTCAGCCTCCCGAGTATCTGGGATTACAGGCACGTGCCACCACACCTGGCTGATTTTTGGATTTTTAGTAGAGACAAGGTTTCACCATGTTAGTTAGGCTGGTCTCGAACGCCTTACCTCATGATCCGCTTGCCTTGGCCTCCCAAAGTGCTGGTATTACAGGGGTGAGCCACCATGCCAGGCCTAAAATAATCTGTTCGCCTTGTGTGAAAACTGTCAATAGTATGTTTTAATATCTGTTGCTCATCATTGCTTTTGTTTTTGTTTTCTTGGTTACTATTAGATGCTTTTTCTTTCACATAAACTTTAGTATCAATGTATATAACTCAAGAGAAAACTTTTATTGGGATTATGTTACATTTCTGAATAAACTTGGGGAGAATGTCTGGTGTCAGCACAATTTTACAACATGGGAAATGTGGTCCAGGCCCATGTGGAAATGCCAGAAAAATAACAATAGAAATACAAATTTCTGATTGACAGTGGTGCTCATGCCTGTAATCCCAGCACTTTGGGAGGCTGAGGTGAGCCAATTACAAGTTCAGGAGTTTGACTCCAGCCTGGTCAATATGGTAAAACTCCATCTTTACTAAAAATACAAAAATTAGCCAGGTGTGGTGGCACGTGCCTGTAATCCCAGCTACTCGGGAGGCTGAGGCAGAAGAATCACTTGAACCCAGGAGGCAGAGGTTGCAGTGTGCCGAGATCACACCACTGCACTGCACTCCAGCCTGGGCAACACAGCCAGACTGTATCTCAAAAACAAACAAACAAACACAAAAACAAATACAGATTTTTTAGATTTTTCTTTTATAGAGATGGGGGTCTTGCTGAGTTGCCCAGGCTGGTCTCAAACTCCTGGCCTCAAATGATCCTCCCACCTTGACCTACCAAAGTGCTGAGATTACAGGAATGAGCCAGCCTGCTCAGCCATAAATACATTAGATGAAGACAAAAAAAAAAAAAAAAAAAAATCAAGATTTATAGAAAATAATATTATATTGAAAATGTGGCCTGACACATTGGCTCATGCCTATAATGCCAGCACTTTGGAAGGCCGAGGCGGGTAGATCTTTGAGGTCAGGAGTTTGAGATCAGCCTGGCCAACACCGTGAAATACTTCTCCAATAATAAAAATACAAAAATTAGTTGGGTGTGGTGGCATGAACCTGTAATCCCAGCTAATTGGGAGACTGAGGCAGGAGAATCGCTTGAAACCGGGAGGTGTAGGTAACAGTGAGCCGAGATCGCGCTACTGGAGTGCTACAGAGTGAGATCTTTTTTTTTTTTTTTTTTTTTGAGACGGAGTTTCGCTCTTATTACCCAGGCTTGAGTGGGATGGCGCGATCTCGCCTCACCGCAACCTCCGCCTCCTGGGTTCAAGCAATTCTCGCGCCTCAGCCTCCCGAGTAGCTGGGACTACAGGCGCGCACCACCATGCCCAGCTAATTTTTTGTTTGTATTTTTAGTAGAGACGGGGTTTCAACCATGTTGACCAGGATAGTCTCGATCTGTTGACCTCGTGATCCACCCGCCTCGGCCTCCCAAAGTGCTGGGATTATAGGCGTGAGCCACCGCGCCCGACCCAAGTGAGATCTTAAAAAAAAAAAAAAGAAAGGAAACGCAATAGAATCCGCAGCTTCTAAAAAATAAACGATGAAGAAAAAAAGGGCCTACAGAAAGCCTGACTGGAAGAGATAGACCATGCCATTTACTAGCAGGTTTCTCAATACGGAAAAATCATGGAAAGACTCTAGGAACATGTGTGTCACACACACACATATATGTATAACACATACCCATAGTTTTTTAATGGAGACAGGGTCTTGCTATTTTGCCCAGGCTGGTCTTGAATTCTCGGACTCCAAACTATCCACCTGCCTTCGTCTGCCAAAGTGCTGGAATTACAGGCGTGAGCCACTACACCCGCCCCGGAAAGGCTTTGGAGAGGGATTCCCTGGGTGCGCCCCATCCTCCGTCCTGCCCTTCCAGCGCCTCGGTACACCTGAACCGCGGGGCTAGGCCGGGTCCCACCTCTAAATCGTCCCCGAGTACGCGCCCCAATTCTTGCCCACAGTTCCATCCAGAGGCCCGGTTCTAACCTCACCTTTTTCTCTGGACCTGTTTCTGCATTCCCCCTCCCTGAGCCAACCAAGGACCTGTCCGCACCCACCCGGGAAGTAACTAGAACTTCTGCGTTCGACCTACGTGGCTGAAATTCCAGCCCAGGAGCCCCGCCCTGCCCAAAGCTCGAAGCGGAAGTGACGTCAGAGCGCCACCGCCATCTTTTTCGGCGCTGGCTCCGCATGGTCAGTGCCATTTCGCCTTTATCGTGGTGAAGTGCGTCTTGGCGGTGGTGAGTTCTGCCTGCTTGGGGGTCCCGGAGATAGCAGGGGGGCGGTAAAGGAAGGTTTGGGCGCGGTCGCCAAGGAGCCTCTCGGATCCGGCTTGTTTCACTCGCTTCTCCAGGGGCTGTTGGTCTTCCCGGCGCGGCCAGTTCCGAGAGGCCGCACGCTCGGTCGGTCCCCGTCAGGAGCCGGGTCGGGAAGTGTGTTTGTCCCGCCTCCGCGGAGTGTTTTCTGGAATGCCTTCGGCCGCTGTACTCCCGTCTTCAGAAGCCTAGAAAGCAACCTTTGTGACTTTTCTTTCGAAAGGAAAAGGATTTCTGTCGTTCCAGTCAGGTTGGCTTCGGCCCTGCGTCCTCTCGCCTACTTGGGGATTCCGGCTTGTTCCTGGTGAGCACCGGCTGTAAATTGGTTTCAAGAGGGCTTTGACTTTCATTTATTTGCTAAAAAATGTCTCTTCTGAGAACCTGGGATTGTCTTAATGTCGTTTACTTGTTTTTTGATACGTTACATTCAGATGGAAAAAAGTTGTTTAGGGTGTGCCTATTTCTGTATGTAAATGTGAACACGTGTAGACTGTAAGCCCCTAGTTTTTTGTTTTGTTTTGTTTTTTAAGTCGGATTCCGCCTCTGTCGCCCAGGGTGGAGTGCAAGGATGCTATCTCGGCTCACTCACTGCCTCAATCTCCCGAGTAGCTGGAATTACAGGCATGCAAATGCAACACCACGCCCTGCTAATTTTTTGTATTTTTGGTAGGGACGGGGCTTCTCCATGTTGGTCAGGCCGGTCTCCAACACTCGACCACAGGAGATCCTCCCTCCTCTGCCTCCCAGAGTGCTGGGATTACAGGCGTGAGGTACTGCCCGCGGCCACCTTTAGTTTTTTATTTTTATTTTCTTGTACTTTATTTTTTTCCCAGTTGTTACCAGCCACAAGCATTTCTGCTAAAGAAAGGCAGGCCTGGCACACTGGCTCACGCCTGTGATGCAAGCACTTTGGAAGGCCGAGGCGGGCGGATCAGCCGAGGTCAGGAGTTTGAGACCAGCTTGGCTAGTATGGTGAAACCCTGTCTCAACTAAAAATACAAAAATAGCCGGCTGTGGTGGAGGTCCCCTGTAATCCCAGCTACTCCGGAGGCTGAGGCAGGAGAATCTCTTGAACCTGGAAGGTGGAGTTTTCAGTGAGCTAAGATCCTTCCACTGCATTCCAATTTGGGAGACGAGAGTAAAACTCCGTCTCAAAAAAAAAAAAAAAAAAAAAAAGGCAGTAGTACTCAGCTATTCTCTTCATCTTTTTTTTTTTTTTTTTTGCCAATCAGTTTGAGCTTTATGAGGTTGTTCAGGTTAGCCTTGAACTGATGACCTTGCCTTCGCGAGCGCCATGACCTCCGGCGGGAGCCACTTTGGACCCCTATTCTCTTCATCTTAAGTTCCTAGGTCTGTACTTCCCGCACAGAGCTTCAGAACCGGGGCCTCCAGAAAGAAAGAGTGGAGTCTATTACACTGATGCTAGAATTATTTATTATTATAATCAGAATATTATTCTCGTATCAGTATAGTACAATATCTAGTACCTATAGAATTTATTAACAGCATGTTGGACTAACTGCGGTTTTTCTTTTTTTCCCCAAAAAATTTGATCATAAGGAAAACTTGAACATCTAACACACCCAGTCTAGTAGGCTTATTTATTTGTTTGAGATGGAGTCTCACTTTGTCACCCAGGCTGGAATGCAGTGACGCAGTCTTGGCTCACTGCAACCTCTGCCTGCCGTGTTCAAGCAATTCTCCTGCCCCAGCTTCCCAAATAGCTGGGACTATAGGTGCTTGCCACCACACCTGGCTGATGTGTGTGTGTGTGTGTGTGTGTGTGTATTTTTAGTAGCTACCAGGTTTCACCATATTGGCCAGGCTGGTCTGCAGCTTCTGACCTTGTAATCCTCCTGCCTTGGCCTTCCAAAGTTCTGAAATTACAGGAGTGAGCCACTGTGGCCAGCCTCATTTCCTTTTTTTTTTTTTTTTTTTTTTTTTTTAGTAGCATTGTGCTTTTCTTTCTCCTCAGGTAAAGTACATCTTATGGTGAACAATATGTAAATTGAGCATAAGCCTAGAACGGTTATCATTGTCTGTTATATGGACTTTTGGAGAGTCACACTTTGTCTCTTAGAAAGTCATGCAATCAGATATTTCTGATTCGATTCTCATGATGTGTTTCAGTATTCCTTTATTTCATGCGATTTCCTACAAACTTGTAATTGGGTCCAGAGAAGCTGACATCCTTTGTTTGATAAGGGCTGTGGTCAGGAGTTTGAGACTAGCCTGGCCAATATGGTAAAACTTTGTCTCTAGAAAAAATACAGAAATGCTTTGGGAATCATAAAGTCTGAAATTACTCAGTTAACCCTTAGTTACTTCATGCTCCATGATTAGTTGTTCATTCTCTGTCACGTGCTAGTGGCAAATCACAGCCTGTTTCTCAAAAGAAAAACAGTTAATCTGCACAAGAGGGCATGGATTGACTCTGGAATACCAGAGGGCTGTACTCCACATCTTCTGTTGGTGCCTGCCAGAGGCTTCCAATAAATAGCATGATATTTAACATGGACACGTTGAGTATCATTGGGTCTGCTGGATCAGGTGGACCAAGTGCTTGGGAATTCTGCACAGCAGCCTGAAATTGCTCTGGTGTACAGTTGAAACTAGAATCCCTACAGGCAAGTGTGTGGGCGTAAAAGCACAGGCAAATGTAAGTGTTGCCTCCAAAATTCAAGAGGCCTATTGACGGTATTTCTATTGGTAGTTATATTTTTAGTTTTTTGAGAAACCTCCATAGTGGGTTTTTTTGTTTGTTTGGTTTGGTTTTTTTGAGACGGAGTTTCGCTCTTGTTTCCCAGGCTGGAATGCAATTCGATCTCGCCTCACTGCAACCTCCGCCTCCTGGGTTCAGGCAATTCTCCTGCCTCAGCCTCCCGAGTAGCTGGGCCTACAGGCACGCACCACCATGCCCAGCTAATTTTTTTGTATTTTTAGTAGAGACGGGGTTTCGCCATGTCAACCAGGATGGTCTTGATCTGACCTCGTGATCCACCCACCTCGGCCTCCCAATGTTCTGGGATTACAGACTTGAGCCACCGCGCCCGGCCTTATAGTGGGGTTTTTTTCTTTCATTTCTTGCAGGATCACTCAGGCTGGAGAGCAGTGGCATAATCAAGGCCCATTGCTCCTTATTAGTGGTATTAGTTGCAGTGACTTGGAATGACATCTTGGAGCGGGGGATATCTTTACATGATCCAGACAAGGGAATATATTTACTCACAGACACGGCAGCCTCAGAACGTCCCACCTCTTATTTTGCAATCCAAAAAAATTTTTTGATTCATAATAGATGTACATATTTTTAGAGTACATGTGATAATTTGATACATTCATATAATCAAATCAGAGTGAGATATCCATCACCTAATGTTTATCTTGTCTTAACATCAAGTTATTCTCTTAGCTGTTTTAAAATGTACAGTAGATGAGTGTTAACTGTAGTCAACCTACTGATGTATTGAACACCAGTTCTTATTTCTTATAACTGTGTATTTTACCCATCAATCAACTTCTCTTTTTGTTTTTGTTTTTGTTTTTTTGGAGATGGAGTCTCCTAGGCTGGAATGCAACCTCTACCACCTGGGTTCAAGCAAGGACATCCAGCTAATTTTTGTATTTTTCCTAGAGAAGGGGTTTCATCATTTTGGCCAGACTGGTCTTGAACTCCTGACCTCAAGTGATCTGCATGCCTCGACCTCCCAAGTGTTGGGATTACGGGTGTGAGCCACTGTGCCTGACTGGTATTGTGTGCAGATAGGTCTTGCTGTGTTGCCCAGGCTGTTCTCGAACTCGTGGGCTTAATGATTCTCCCACAGAAGCCTCAAGTTTTGGGATTACAGGCATGAGCCACCGCACCTGAATATTGTTCTCTATAGTGGCTGTACTAATTTACATTCCCACCAACTGCGGAGAAGGATTTTCTTTTCACCATATTCTCATCAGCATTTGTGATTCCCTGTCTTTTTTATAAAAGCCACTCTAAGGCCGGGCATGGTGGCTCATGACTGTAATCCAAGCACTTTGGAGGCCAAGGCGGGCGGATCACCTGAGGTTGGGAGTTCATGACCAGACTGACCAACATGGTGAAACCCCGTCTTAAAAAAAATAAAATAAGCCAGGCGCGGCCGCTCACACCTGTAATCCCAGCACTTTGGGAGGCCAAGGCGGGTGGATCACGAGGTCAAGAGATCGAGACCATCCTGGTCAGCATGGTGAAACCCCGTCTCTACTAAAAATACAAAAAATTAGCTGGGCATGGTGGCGCGTGCCTGTAATCCCAGCTACTCAGGAGGCTGAGGCAGGAGAATTGCCTGAACCCAGGAGGCGGAGGTTGCGGTGAGCCGAGATTGCACCATTGCACTCCAGCCTAGGTAACAAGAGTGAAACTGTTTCAAAATAAATAAATAAAATAAAAGGCCACTCTAAATGAGGTGAGATGATATCTCATTGTGATTATGTGATATTTGTATTTCTCTGATTATTAATGATGTTGAGCACTTTTTTTATGTACCTGTTTGCCGTTTGTATGTCTTTTTTTTTTTTTTTTTTTTTCCGAGACAGAGTTTCACTCTTGTTGCCCAGGCTGGAGTGCAATGGCGCAGTCTTGGCTAACAGCAACCTCCGCCTCCCAGGTTCAAGTGATTCTCCTGCTTCTGCCTTCTCAGTAGCTGAGATTACAGGCATGTGCCACCATGTCTGGCTAATTTTGTATTTTTAGTAGAGACTGAGTTTCTCCATGTTGGTCAGGCTGGTCTCCAACTCCCAACCTCAGGTGATCCACCTGCTTCGGCCTCCCAAAGTGCTGGGATTACAGGCGTGAGCCACTGCGCCTGGCATATGTCTTTTTTTTTGAAGCATCTATTCTGACCTTTTGCCGATTTTTTTTTTTTTTTTTCTATCAAGTTGTTTGAGTTCCTTATATATTCTGATTATTAATTCTTTGCCAGGTGGATAGTTTGTAAATATTTTCCCCCATACTGTAGAGTGACTCTTCACTTTGTTGATTTTTTTTTTGCTGTGGAGAAACTTTTTAGCTTGATGTGATCTCATATGTTTATTTTTGCTCTTGTTTTCTGTGCTGTTGAGGTCTTAACCCAAGAAATCTTTACTCAGACCAATGTCCTGGATTGTTTCCCAGTGTCTTCCTCTAAGTAGTTTTATAGTTTCAGGTGTTAGATGTGAGTCTTTAATTAGTTTTGACTTTATTTTTGTATATGCTGAGAGGTGGCATCTAGTTTCATTCTGCATATGGTTATTCAGTTTTCCCAGCACCATTTATTGAAAAGACTGTTCTTTTCCCATTGTATGCTTTTGATGCCTTTGTTGAAAATGAGCTGTCTGTAAATGTGTAGGTTTATATTTACGTTCTGATCTGTGTGTTTGTGTTTATGTCAGTACCATCCTGATTTGGTTATGGTAGATTTCTAGTCTGTTTTGAAGTCAGGCAGTGTGATGCTTTTAGCTTTGTTCTTTTTGGTCAGTATTTCTTTGGTTTTTTGAGGTCTTTTGTGGTTGCATGTAAATTTTAGAGGTTTTTTTTTTAGATGGAGTCTCGCTCTGTCACTCAGGCTGAAGTGCAGTGGCACGTTTTCACCTCACTGCGACCTCCACCTCCTGGGTTCAGGTGATTCTCCTGCCTCAGCCTCCCAAATAGCTGGGACTACAGGCGCCAACCACCACGCCAGGCTAATTTTTGTATTTTTGGTAGAGACAGGGTTTCATCATGTTGGCCAGGCTGGTCTCGAACTCCTGACCTTGTGATCTGCCTTGCCCAGCCAAGGGTTGCTCTTAATTTTAAATTGCTTTGGGTAGTATTGTCATTTTAACAATATTCTTGTAATCCATGAGCATGGAATATCTTCCAGTTTTTTTTTCTGTATCCTCTGCAGTTTGTTTCATCAGTGTTTTATGTATGGTTTTCCTTTATAGCTCCTTCACACTTTTGGTTACTTTTTATCTTTTTCAGGTGGAGTCTTACTTTTTTGCCCAGGTTTGAGTACAGTAATGCAATCATAGTTCATGTGGCAGCCTTGAACTCCTGGGTCCAAGGGATCCTCCTGCCTCAGCCTCTTGATTAATGGGGACTACAGCTGTGTGCCATCATGCCTGATTAATTTTCTTTCTTTTCTTTTTATGAGACGGAGTTTCGCTCTTGTTACCCAGGCTGGAGTGCAATGGCGTGATCTCGGCTCACCGCAACCTCTGCCTCCTGGATTCAGGCAGTTCTCCTGCTTCAGCCTCCCGACCAGCTGGGATTACAGGCACGCGCCACCATGCCCAGCTAATTTTTTGTATCTTTAGTAGAGACGGGGTTTTCACCATGTTGACCAGGATGGTCTCGATATCTTGACTTCATGATCCACCTGCCTCGGCCTCCCAAAGTGCTGGGATTACAGGCTTGAGCCACCACGCCCGGCCAAACTTTTTGTACTTTTTAGTAGAGACAAGTTTGTATCATGTTGCCCAGGCTGGTCTTGAACTTCTGAGCTCAAGTGATCTGTCTGTCTCAGCCTCCCAAAGTGATTTTCTTTCTTTAAGATTTCCCTAGGTCACTGCCTCCTTTTCAGCACTAGATGGAATCTTAAACTCACGTTTCCCTCTTCTCTAGCAAGCAATCAAGAATACTGCCCAGGCCAGGTGCTGTAGCTCATGCCTGTAATCCCAGCATTTCGGGAGGCTGAGACAGGAGGATCATCTGAGGTCAGGAGTTCGAGAGTAGCCTGGCCAACATGGAGAAACCCTGTCTCTACTAAAAAATACAAAAAAATTAGTTGGGCATGGTGACGGGTGCTTGTAATCCTAGCTACTGGGGAGGCTAAGGCAGAAGAATCACTTGAACATGGTAGGCAGAGTTTGCAGAGAGCCGAGATCACAACACTGGACTCCAGTCTAGGAGACAGAGTGATACACCGTCTAAAAAAAAAAAAAAGAAAGAATACTGCCCGTCCTGGCTGTGTGTTCATGCCCAGGGGCCTGTGTAGCACGCCCCTACAGCGTAGTCGTCCTGAACAGCGGCTCTGATTTAGCTTCTCCTTTGTCCAAGTTATAAAGCAGAGTTTCCAGGGCTGGGAATGGCAATCCTGCCTCCTTTTTTTTGGTCCATGGATGTCCTCAGGGTATTTCTCCCTTCAGGCACTTGTGATGCTTTCTGTGGGTTGAGACAGGGAAGGACTGATCTTTTACCAGGGAATCCAGGGTGATGGAGAAGATGGTTGTCTACCTTGATCTCAATTTTTTCCAGTGTAGAAAGTGTGAATCGATGGAAATTTTCCACATTCTTGGTGTTGGACAAATTAAGGAGAAGGGTGTTGTGGATATGGAAATTTGATTCGCTTAACATCTCTTTGGAGTTTTTTCACTTCTTTGTAGCCCCAGAAACTGCCTAATTTTTCTATTTGATTTCAGGGATATTGCTGGTAATAATTTTCACGGTGTGTATTTGGTTTTGGTTTTCTGGAAGGGGAGTGAAACCAGCTTGCTTCTGTACTGCCATTTTGGAATCATAAATGCTGCACATTTCTAATGAAGTTGTCTGAGGTATTTCAGGTAGGGCACAGTGGTTCATGCCTGTAATCCTAACACTGGCAAGCTGAAGTGGGAGGATTGCTTGAGGCCAGGTGTTTGAAATTAGCCTGGTCAACATAGTGGAACCTCATGTCTACAGGGGAAAAAAAATCAGCCAGGTGTGGTAGTATGTGCCTGAAGTCCCACATACTTGGGAGGCTGACACGGGAAGATTGCTTGAGCCCAGGAGTTTTGAGTTTGCAGTGAACCATGATCACACCACTGTAATCCAGCCTGGGTGACAGAGTAAGACCCTGTCTCTAATATTTAGAAATGTATTTTCTACTTCCTGCTTTTTGCATATGATCAGTATAGTGGTGTCAACATAGTGTACCAGTGTGGTGTTTCATGGAATGTCATTATCTCTGGGAGGCCCAGAGACCTGGAGAACTGACACAAGCTGGGGGCAGTGCTGTGAAGATACATTGTTGGTCCTGCCAGGTAAAAGGTAACTGAGTCTTGACTTTTTCAAATTGGTACGTGGAAAAGACATGAGCTGTGTCAGTACCTGTGACAGGAATTATGTTGATGTGTTCTGGTAGACATTGCATTTTGAAAGTTGACTGTAATTGGAGTGATCACTACGTTCATGATTTGTGAATGATTTAGGTGTGGTAATTGAGTGAGAGTCATGATTCTCCACTGGGATAACTTCAGACTTTTTTTTTTTTTTATAGACAAAATCTTACTCTGTCGTCAGGCTGGAGTGCAGTGGTACAATCTTGGCTTACTGCTACCTCCATGTCCTGTGTTCAAGCGATTCTTCTGCCTCGGCCTCCCGACTAGCTGGGGCTACAGGCATGTGCCACCATGCCCAGCTAATTTTTATATTTTTAGTAGAGACTAGGTTTCACCATGTTGGCCAGGATGGTCTTCATCTCTTGACCTTGTGATCCGCCTGCCTCCCAAAGTACTGGAATTACATGAGTGAGCTACCACGCCCAGCCTAGACTGTTTTACATAGCTAGAGCAGTATTCAAGTACAGAGAGTGGCATACCATGGCCCATGGGCAATGTCTGTCCCCTCACATATTGTTCATATATGAAGTTTAATCAGAATACAACCGGGTTCATTTGTATATGTTTTCTATGGTGTTTTCCATGCTACAACAGCCGAATTGAATAGTTGCAACAGAGACTGTATGGCCCATAATGACTAACAGATTTTGTGGCTCCTTAGAGTGGGATTTGTTAACTGCTTGTCTGTTTCATTTCTAGGGATAGCACAATTAGTTAGCCACCACCACAGATCTCTGTAGGTCAGGACATTCTGATTACTGATACATTTCCACTGTCTTTGATAGTTGATTTGCTCACCTTGTCTTTGGTGATTTCTCCTGTTCTGGGTCCCCTTCATCTTGACTGAAAGCAGGGAACTCATCTCAGTGATGGTATTGTTTGCAGTCATACCTGTCCTATGAAGGAGAATACCAGCAGAGCTGTTCAAGGATTACGTTACTCCTCTCATTACTCTCTCAATAACCTTTGTGAAGAGAGTATCTTCTGCACCCTCAACAGAGGACGGGGAAGTGGGCTATACAAATGACACATAAAAATCCAGTGACAGTTCTGTCTCTAGGATTCCCTCTTTCCCATTTTGCCAGGGAAGCTCTGGCATATGAGCCTCATTAATTATAACAGTTTCATCTCTGAGAACATAAGAAGTAGCTTTATTTCAGGGCTGTCCTAAAGAAGCCCTCTGATTTTTTTTCTTTCTTTGTTTCTTTATTATTTATTTGGTTTTTTTTGGAGACAGTCTCACTCTGTTGCCGAGGGTGAAGTGCAGTGGCATGATCTCGGCTTATAGCAGCCTCAGCCTCCTGAGTAGCTGGGACTACAGGCATATGCCACCACACCTGGCTAGTTTTTGTATCGTCTGAACCAGGGCGGGCAGCAGCAGAGGTTGCTGTGAGCTAACATTGTGCCACTGCACTCCAGCCTATGGCAGAGCAAAAATCTGTCTCAAAAAAAAAAAGAGAGAGAGAAAGATGTAATACTATGATATGAAAAAAGCTCCAAAAGACACAATATTCAAACTTCGTCAACACTGTCAAAAAAAATGATCTCAGTTGGGTGGGGTGGATCACCTGAGTTCAGGAGTTCAAGACCTGCCTGGCCAACATGGTGAAACCCCATTTCTACTAAAATACAAAAAACATTTAGCCAGGCATGATATCAGCTGCCTGTACTCCCAGCTGCTTGAGAGGCTGAGGAGAATCTCTTAGACCTGGGAGGTAGAAGTTAACAGTGAGCTGAGATTGCACCATTGCCCCCAACCTGGGTGATAGAGTAAGACTCTGTCTCAAAAAAGCAAGCAAAAAACAAAATAATAATCTGTCTTTGCACTTGCATTATTTTCTGTTTGAATAAAATTTTTAATGGTTTTTATTTTTGTTTTTCGGAGACATGGCCTCACTCTGTCTCATAGGCTGGAGTACAGTGGTGTAATCATGGCTCATTGAAGCCTCAACCTCCCCAGGCTCAGGTGATTTTTTAAATCAACCAAAGAGCTGGGATTACAGGCATTAGCCACTGTGCCCACTCTTTACTGGTTTTTAAATGTGTATTTAAGCCTGAATGATGGCTATAGGGTCAGAGATAACCAATCTCCTCAGGGCACAAATGAGATACATGAAATTTGAGCTCTTTTAAACTAGCTTCACTGCTCTCTTTAGGAATACGGTTATTTTTTCTTGGATAGATTTGTCATCTCTTGCGTAAGCCTCTTCCATTGGTGTATCTTTCCATCTGCACAGGACCTGTTCAAACGCAGTCTGTGTCTTGACTGGAGGACGAGGAGGAAAGTCGAGCACATCGCCGATAGGCGTTCTCCAAGGTGAGTGTGAAGAACACCTGGTCAGTGAGAAGTTCAGTGTGTTTGGAAGCATAATGAAGACATTTGAAAGATGTACTTTGTCACAGAACGTGGGGCCTTTGGACTTGGAAGTTTTAGGGTATCTTCAACGTTCCATATTCCTCTCTTTTTCATCCAGCCCAGACTTTCATATGATTTTGCAAATGTTCTGCTTTTTTTGTTGTTGTTTATGATTTTAATGTGTGCGCTTTACCCAGATTGTTTCTGCTTTCCTTCTCTAATAATAATCTGTTCACTGTCTCATTTAATTTCTATAGAATAGCCGGGCACGGTGGCTAATGAGGTCAAGAGATCGAGACCATCCTGGTCAACAAGGTGAAACCCCATCTCTACTAAAAATACAAAAATTAGCTGGGCATGGTGGTGCGTGCCTGTAGTCCCAGCTACTCGGGAGGCTGAGGCAGGAGAATTTCTGGAACCCCGGAGGTGGAGGTTGTGGTGAGCCGAGTTCGCGCCACTGCACTCCAGCCTGGGTGACAGAGTGAGACTGTATTTAAAAAAAAAATTACTAAATTTAAACTCCAAATCCTTAATTGCAGTCTGTATTAGTCATGGATAAACTGTTAAAATCTGCACTTGCCTAATTTTTTGAGTTTGCTGAATATGAAAAATATAAATGAGCTTTTTCATTCTTCCTTATTTAACCTACCATTTTGTTCTCAGACCCTTTTCTTTCTTTTTTTTCTGTTTTACTTCAGAATGACAAGTTAAAAGCAAAGTGTCAGCACTTCAACAACCGTTTTTTTGGCTTAATAAAACATCAAACGGCATACAAATGGTAAGATTAAGATTTCTTATTTGCCACACTCAAAAAAGATTGGGAATTCCATTATAAAATCTCAGCAAAAATTAGAGATATTTGAGAGCGGTAGCATTTACCCAAGCAGGAGTTATGTCTCCAGAGCAAGGTTCCCCGCTGGTATTGGTTAGGAACTGTTAGGAACTGGGCTGCACAACGGGAAGTGAGCGGTGAGTGAACAAAGCTTCATCTGTGTTTATAGCCATCACCCATCACTCGTATTACTGCCTGAGCTCCTCCCGTCAGATCAGTCGTAGAATTAGATTCTCGTAACACAGACCTTACTGTGAACTGCCCATCCTAGGGTTCTAGATTGTGTGCTCCTTATGAGGCTGATGATCTGTCACTGTCTCCCATCACCTAGATAGGACTGTCTAGTTGCAGGAAAACAAGCTCAGGCCTCCTGCTGATTCTACATTATGGGGAATTGTATAATTATTTCATCATGTATTTTAATGTAATAATAATAGAAATAAAGCCACAGTAAATGTACTGTGCTTAAATCATGCTGAAACCATCCCTGTCCTACTCCCATTCCACCTGTTTGTGGAAAAATTTTCTTCTACGAAACCGGTCCCTAGTGCCAGAAAGGTTGGGGACCTCTGGTCTAGAGGGATACTCTAAACATAATGAATTTGGGGATACCCTGATCCTATCTTAAAACTTGGTGCTTCAGTATTCTCACAGATTATCACATATGTAGCTAGATAGTGAGATTATAAAAACAATTTCATGAAAATATACAGGAATTATTTGAAGGTTCTTAGAGCAAATGGCACAAGGTTCTTGCTAGCAGGTTTTCTTTATTCAACTTGTAAAAGTTCCATGGGGCAGCAAACTGTATGCATGTAATGAAAATGGCAAAAATGACAATAAAATATCTGATTTCAGATGAGTAGAATTTACCAAGTCTGGAAAATCCTTTAATCCTCATTCATCTCTTTATTAACAGGCTGAAATCCACAATGGAGGGGAACTCTGTGACTTTATGGAAAATGGAGAAATCTTTAGTGAACACTCATGCCTTAATGCACACGTGGAAACTGAAAATACAGGGGACACTTATGACTGTGACGAGTATGGAGAAAACTTTCCCATGTTCCACAACAGTGCCCCTACTGGGGAGACACTTTCTGTGTTGAATCAGTGTAGAAAAGCCTTCAGCCTGCCACCAAATGTTCACCAGAGAACATGGATAGGAGACAAATCCTTTGAATACAGTGACTGTGAGGAAGCCTTTGTTGATCAGTCTCATCTTCAGCCAAATAGGATAACTCACAGTGGAGAAAATCTCTATGAGCAGAATCAACGTGGGAGAGCTTTTACTTACTCCACAAGCCATACTGTGTCTGTCCAAATGCGTACTGTAGAAAAACCCTACGAATGTAAGGAATGTGGAAAATTCTTTAGGTATTCTTCATATCTTAATAGTCACATGCGAACCCATACTGGGGAGAAACCCTATGAATGTAAAGAATGTGGGAAATGCTTCACTGTTTCTTCACACCTAGTTGAACATGTAAGAATTCATACTGGAGAAAAACCCTATCAATGTAAGGAATGTGGAAGAGCCTTTGCGGGGCGCTCAGGCCTTACTAAACATGTACGAATACACACTGGAGAGAAGCCCTATGAATGTAACGAATGTGGGAAAGCCTACAATAGGTTTTACCTACTAACTGAACATTTTAAAACTCACACAGAGGAGAAGCCCTTTGAATGTAAGGTATGTGGAAAATCCTTTAGAAGCTCTTCATGCCTTAAGAATCACTTTAGAATTCACACTGGAATAAAACCCTATAAATGTAAGGACTGTGGGAAAGCATTCACTGTTTCCTCAAGCTTACATAATCATGTAAAAATCCATACCGGAGAGAAGCCCTTTGAATGTAAGGACTGTGGGAAAGCCTTTGCTACATCTTCGCAACTCATCGAACATATAAGAACTCACACTGGAGAGAAACCGTATATATGTAAGGAATGTGGGAAAACCTTTCGTGCTTCTTCACACCTACAGAAACACGTTCGAATTCACACTGGAGAGAAACCCTATATATGTAACGAATGTGGGAAAGCCTACAATAGATTTTATTTACTTACTAAACATTTAAAAACACACTGAAGAAGAAAACTGAATGTAAGGAATGTGGAAATCTTAGGAATTTCTTATATCATAATTACCACATTTGAATTCACACTGTTGAGAAATCTTATTGGTGCAAAGAATGTGCGGAGGCCTTCAGTTATTCCCATTCACTTTGAAGACATGAAAAAATTCACATTCTCTGTGTCCCCCATAAATTTTAGAAATGTTAGGGAACCATTGGATTTTTTTTTTTTTTTTTTTTTGAGACAGAGTTTTGCTCTTGTCACTGGTGTGCAATGACATGAGCTTGGTCCACTGCAGTCTCCGCCTTCTGGGTTCCAGCAATTCTGCCTCGGCCTCCTGGGTAGCTAGGATTACAGGCACCTGCCACCGTGCCCAGCTAATTCTTGTATTTGTAGTAGAAACGGGGTTTTGCCATGTTGGCTAGGCTGATCTCCCTCAGATGATCCACTGGGATTACAGGTGTGAGCCACCATGCCCATCCTTTTTTTTTTTTTGAGACGGAGTTTCGCTCTTGTTATTCACGCTGGAGTGCAATGGTGCAATCTCGGCTCACTGCAACCTCCACCTCCTGGATTCAAGCAATTCTCCTGCCTCAGTCTCCTGAGTAGCTAGGACTACAGGCACACTGCACCATGCCCAGCTAATTTTTGTATTTTTTTAGTAGAGATGGGGTTTCACCATGTTGACCAGGATGGTCTCGATCTCTTGACCTCGTGATCCACCCACCTTGGCCTTCCAAAGTGCTGGGATTATAGACGTGAGCCACCATGCCTGACCTCCTTAGGTCTTTCTAAGTATATAAGATGTTGCAATGGAGAGAGATCCTATTCTTTTTTTTTTTTGTTTTTGAGACGGAGTTTCACTGTTGTTACCCAGGCTGGAGTGCAATGGCACGATCTCGGCTCACCGCAACCTCCGACTTCTGGGTTCAAGCAATTCTCCTGCCTCAGCCTCCCGAGTAGCTGGGACTACAGGCGCGCACCGCCATGCCCAGCTAATTTTTGTATTTTTAAGTAGAGATGGGGTTTCACCTTGTTGACCAGGATGGTCTTGATCTCTTGACCTCATGATCCACCTGCCTCAGCCTCCCAAAGTGTTGGGATTATAGGTGTGAGCCCCCGCACCCAGCCAAGAGATCCTATTCATACAAAATGCAGGCATGCCCAGAAGATACTGCAGGCTTGGTTCCAGACCATCGCAATAGTACGAATCATACAAATGTTTTGGTTTCCCAGTGCTTATAAGTTAGGTTTACATCATACGGTAGTCTCTTGTGTATAGTTGTGTTATGTCTAAGTAAAGTACCTTAGTTTAAGATACTTCAGTGCCAAAAACTAATGATCATCTGAGACTTTGGTGAGTTGTAATTTTTTTGCTTGTGGTGGGTCTTGCCTCAATGTTGATGGCTGTTGTCAGGGTGGCTGTGGCAGTTTCTTATTTAAAGACAGCAGTGAAGTTTGCTGCATTGATTGACTCTTCACTTCATGAAAAACTTGTTTGTGCCCTGTGATGCTGTTTGATAACATTTTACACATAGTGGTACTTCTTTTGGAATGGACTAATCCTCTCAAACTTTACTGCCATCAGCTAAGTTTATGTAATATTCTAAGTATGTTGTAGTTTCAGCAACATTTACAGCATCTTCACCAGGAGTAGATTTCATTCAGGAAAACACTTTTCTTTACACATCTATGAAAGCAACCCCTCATCTAGTCAAGTTTTTTCTTGAGATTGAAACAATTCTTTCGCATCTTCGGGCCCCACTTTTAATTCTAGTTCTTTTTTTTCCATCATATCCATAGTTACTTTTTCTACTGAGGACTTGAACCCCTGAGAGTCACCTGTGAAAGTTGGAATTAACTTCTTCCAAACTCTGGTTAATGTTGGTTTTCATTTTTTTTAGAGACATAGTGTCGTGTTGCTCATGCTGGGGTACAAGTGGGTATTCACCAGCACAATGAGAGCACATTGTAGCCTTGAACTCTTGGCCTCAAGTGATCCTCCTGCCTATGCCTCCTGAGTAGCTGAGAGTACAGGCATACACCACCACACCTGCCTTAATGTTGATATTTTGACCTTCCATGAATAACAAATGTTAATGGCATCTAGAATGGTGAAGCCTTTCTGCAAGGTCTGCAATTTGATTTGCCTAGATCCATCAGAAGAAGCACTATTAGTGGCAGCTATAGCCTTATAAACTGTATTTCTTACATAATAAGACTTGAAATTCAGAATTATTCCTTAATCCATGGGGTGCAGTTATCAGGCATGAAAATGTTAATCTTGTTTATAGTTCCATAAGAGGTGTTGGTTACTAGGTGCATTATCAGTGATAATTTGAAAGGACTCTCTGAACAGTATGTTTTACAGTGGGCTTAAAATATTCAGTAAACCATGCTGTAAATAGATGTAAATAGATACCACAGGGAGAGTAGATGTAGCATGATTCTTATTGGCCCTTTGGTTTTTGGAATAGTAAATGAGCAGTAGCATTCATTTAAAGTCACCAACTGCATTGGCTCCTAACAAGAAAGCCAGCCCAGCCAGGCTGGACACAGTGGCTTACACCTGTAATTCCAATGCTTTGGGAGGCTGAGACTGGAGGATCACGTGAGGCCAAGAGTTGAAGGCCAGCCAGCACCACAGAGTGTGACCCTATCTCTATAAAGTAGAGTCTGTTCTTCGAAGCTTTGAAGTCAGATATTGACTTCCCTAGAGCTATGAAAGTCCTAGATGGCATTTTCTGAAGTAAGACTGTTTTGTCTCTATTAAAACTCAGTATTATTACTGCCTCTGCCTGTTATCCAGATCTTTGGGAAATGCCTGCTACAGCTTCGACATCAGCAATTGCTGCTTCACTTTGTACTTTTATGTTATGGAAATGGCTTGTTAAATCTCATGAACTGATCTTTGCCAGCTTCCAGCATTTCTTTCTTTTTTTTTCGGCGACGAAGTTTCACTCGTTACCCAGACTGGAATGCAATGGGACGATCTCGCTCACTGCTACCTCTGCCTTTTGGGTTCAAGCAATTCTCCTGCCTCAGCCTTCTGAGTAGTCGGGACTACAGGTGCGCACCACCATGCCCAGCTAATTTTTGTATTTTTAGTGGATACTGGGTTTCACCTTGTTGACCAGGATGGTCTCAATCTCGACCTTGTTATCCACCCGCCTTGGCCTCCCAAAGTGCTGGGATTATAGGCGTGAGCCACCGCACCCGGCTGCTTCCAGCATTTCTTCTGCAGCTAACTCACCTCTCAGCCTTCATACAGTTAGTTAGGGCCTTGCTCTGGATTAGGTTTTGTCTTAGGGAACGTTGTGGCTGGTCTGATGTTCTACCCAGACACTAAAACCTTCTGTGTCAGTGGTGAGGCTGCATTCCTTTCTTATTTGTGTGTTCACTGGAATAGCAGTTAATTTCCTTCAAGAACTTTTCCTTTGCATTCACAACTTGCTAACTGTCACAAGAGGCCTAGATTTTGGCCTATCCATTTTTTTTTTTTAAGAGACATGGTCTTGCTTTTACCCAGGCTGGAGTGTAGTGCAATTATAGCCCATTGCAGCCTCAAACTGATGGTTTTTTTTTTTTTTTTTTTTAGACGGAGTTTCGCTGTTGTTACCCAGACTGGAGTGCAATGGCCCGATCTCGGCTCACCACAACCTCTGCCTTCTGGGTTCAAGCAATTCTCCTGCCTCAGCCTCCTGAGTAGCTGGGACTACAGGTGCGCATCACCATGTCCAGCTAATTTTTGTATTTTTAGTAGCGATGGGGTTTCACCTTGTTGACCAGGATGGTCTCGATCTCTTGACCTCGTGATCCACCTGCCTCGGCCTCCCAAAGTGCTGGGATTGTAGGCGTGAGCCACCGCGCCCGGTCAAACTGATGGGTTCAAGTGATCTTCCTGTCTCCTGAGTAACTGAGACTGCAGGTATGCACCACCTTGGCCAGCTAATTATTTTTTTAAAGAGACAGGACTTTACTGTTTCCAAGGCTGATCTTGAACTTATAACCTCAAGTGATACCCCCGCCTATGCCTCCCAACACGCTGGGATTACAGGTGTGAGGTGCTGCACCTGGTGAGAAACGTGCAACTCCTCCTTACACTTGAACATTTAGGGGCCATTGTGGGGTAATTAATTGGCCTAATTTCAATATTATTGTGCCTCAGGGAATTAGGAGGCCCAGGGAAAGGGCAAGAGAGGGGGCAGTAGCCAGTTGGTGGAGCAATGAGAATGTGGCATTTTTTGGCTGTATGCCAAGGTTGTAGTTTGTGGTACCCCAAAACAATTAAAATAGGAACATCAAAGATCACAGAGTGACCAGGAGCAGTGGCTTATGCCTGTAATCCCAGCATTTTGGGAGGCCCAGGTGGGCAAATCATGAGGTCACGAGTTTGAGAACAGCCTGGCCAACATAGTGAAACCCCATCTCTACTAAAAATAGAAAAAATTAGCTGGGCATTGCAGGCACCTGTAGCCTCAGCTACTTGGGAGGCTGAGGCAGGAGAATCACTTGAACCCAGAAGGCGGAGGTTGCAGTGAACCGAAATTGGACCACTGCTGTCCAGCCTGGGTGACAGAGTGAGACACTGTCTAAAAAACACACAGAGCACCACAATAAATATAATAATATTTGAAATATTGTCAAAATTATCAGGATGTGAGAAACAAAAAGTGAGCACATGCTGTTGGAAAAAGTGGTGCCACAGGACTTGGACTTGTAAAAAAAAAATGTCTGCAAAGTGAAGTAGCCTAAGGTATGTCAGAAGCTATTGCTCTATTGGTTGCCAAATGGTGGTTTTCTTTTTTCTTCTTTTTGTTGGTCTGTGACAGGGTCTTGCTCTATTGCCTAGGGTGGAGTGCAGTGGCACGATCACGGCATACTACATCCTTGACCTGGGCTCAAGCGGTCCTCCCACCTCAGTCTCCTGGCTACCTGGGACCACAGGCACGTGCTAATATGCTTAAATAATTTTTTTATTTGCAGAGCCGAGGTCTCACTATTGTCTGTTGCCCAGACTGATCTCAAACCCTTGGACTCAAGTAATCCTCCCGCCTCAGCCTCCCAAAGTGCCGGGATTACAGGTGTTAGCCACCGCACCTAGCCCAAAAAGTGATTTTCTAATTCCTTGGTTTCTTCTGCATTTCTTAATTGGAATTTTGTAAGGAAGAGTTATCCTTAATCATTCATTTACCCATTTACTTGTAGGAGCATGTATCATAAATTCTTATTCTGTGGGGTATAGTTAGCTACTGTAAATTTGATGCACATATTTTTCCAGGTTCAATAAGTAGGGTCTCCATCAAGCTATCTTCTGAATCTTTAAAAATGTATTCTCCTAATTTCATGGGTATATAATTATTTTCTGGGCAAGTTTGTTCCTGGTACATTTGTCTCCAGTCCCCGAATCAGAAAAATCTAGTTTTCTTTTAACAGAGAATACTATTTAGAAGCTGCAGTTTCTGTGTGCGGGGGTGTTCCTAGGTAATAGTGCCCTGGCTTTTAGGTCCTCTCTGTGGAAGATGTGGGAAATACATACATACTTATATGTGTATATATATATATATATGTATCCACACACACTGATACCTATATTTCTATATTAAAAACATGACCACATGCCAATACTTATAATTCCACTGCAACACCTCTGGGTTATTCCTTGCCTTCCAAATTCCCTTGTCTATAGCTATCTCTTATCACATGCAAAAAGCAGCACTTGCCCAATCCCAGATTAAAATATAATGTAGTCTCAGAATTGATAACTCATACCAGTTTAAAAACTACTAACCAGAATTCAGTCTTTATTCACAGTTCGTATCTGTAGCTCAGGGCTTAATATAAAAGCACTAAGTTTAATCCGCTTGTAGGTTTATGTCCAAAGGACTGAGGAAAGCATCTCAGTATGTGAATGCACCTGTGCTCATCGCAGCAGCATTCAGAAGAGCCAAGAGGTGGAAGCAAAGTAAATGTCCATTGACGGATGAATTGGTAAACAAAATGTGTTATGTACGTCCAATGCAATATCGTTTAGCCTTAAAAACAAAATTCTGCCATATGCCACAACATGGATGTACCTTGACATTATGCTAAGTAAAATAAACCAGTTGCAAAAGGTCAAATACCACCTGATTCCACTTATATAGGATATCTAACAAAACTCAGAAGCAAGAAAGAACTGCAGTATTTGCCACAAGCTGGTGGAGGAGAAAATGGATTAATGGGTGTTGAGTGTCAGCCATGCAAGATGGAAAAGCTTTTTGCGATTTGTTGTCTAAAAATATGCATATAGTTAACAGTACTGTTCGGTACAGACAAAGTATGTGAAAGAGTAAGTTTTATGTGTTTTTATCATAATAAAAATTGTAATAAAAGTTACTTGGGTCAGTTTTGTGAGGTTTTCCCGTTCATTGATTAATTTTTATCCATTTGATACAAAGTTTTTTTTCGGTATTCCTGTTAATTTTCCACTTTGTGTCATCCCGTTATCCTTGTTGATTTTTTTTTTTTTTTTTTAATTAAGTAAAACAGGCCGGACAGGGTGGCTCATGCCTGAAATCCCAGCACTTTGGGAGGCCAAGGTGGGCGGATTACTTGATAACAGGAGTTCGAGACCAGCCTGGCCAACATGGTGAAGCCCCGTCTCTACCATAAAATAAAAATTAGCCAGGCAACATGGTACATAACTAATTTCATCTGCTTTGGAGTCTGAGGCCGGAGAATTACTTGAACCTGGGAGACAGAGGTTGCAGTGAGCTGAGATCCTACCTCTATACCAGCCTGAGAGAGAGAGACTGTCTCAAAAAAATAAATATATATGTATGTGAACATATATATATGTGAAACAGTAGGTGTTTGTTTTGTTTTGTTTTTGAGACAGAGTCTTGCTCTTGTCACCCAGGCTAGAGTGCAATGGTATGATCTCAGCTCACTGCAACGTCTGCCTCCCAGGTTCAAGTGATTCTCCTACCTTAGCCTCCTGGGATTACAGGCGCCTGCCACCACACCTGGCTAATTTTTGTATTTTTAGTAGATAGTTTTGCCATGTTGGCCAGGCTAGTCTTGAACTGGGATCACAGGTGTGAACCACCGTGCCCGGCCAACAAGAGTATATTTTATTTGTTATACTGGTTTATCTTTTTTTTTTTTTTGGTGTCAAGGTCTTGCTCTGTCACCTAGGCTGGAGTGCAGTGGCATGATTGTAGCTCACAGCAGCCTTACACTTCTGAGCTCAAGCACTCCTCACACTTTAGTGTTTCAAGAGGCTGGGAGTACAGGTATGGACCACTAAGTGCAGGCAGTTCTTAAATTTTTTACACTTTTTTTTTTTGGAGGGAGGGTCTTGCTCTGTCACTCAGGTTGGACTGCAGTGGCGCAATCATAGCTCTCTGCAACCTCACACTCCTGAGATCAAGCAATCCTGTCTCAGCCTCCTAAGTAGGTAGGACTACTGGCAAGCACCACCAGGCCCAGCTAGTTTTATTAAATTTTTGTAGAGATGGGATGTGGCTGTATTGCCCAGGCTGGCCTCAAACTCCTGGTCTTAAGGGATCCTCCCACCCTGCCTCCTAAAGTGCTGGTATGACCTGCATGAGCCACCGTGTCCACCTATTAGCATATTTTAAACCTTAGAACTAAAAAAAAGTTTTCCTTTCCTGCCGGGCGCGGTGGCTCAAGCCTGTAATCCCAGCACTTTGGGAGGCTAAGGCGGGTGGATCACGAGGTCAAGAGATTGAGACCATCCTGGTCAACATGGTGAAACCCTGTCTCTACTAAAAATACAAAAAATTAGCTGGGCGTGGTGGCGCGTACCTGTAATCCCAGCTACTCAGGAGGCTGAGGCAGGAGAATTGCCTGAACCCAGAAGGCTGGAGGTTGCGGTGAGCCGAGATTGCGCCATTGCACTCCAGCCTGGGTAACAGTAGTGAAACTCCATCTCAAAAAAAAGTTTTCCAAAAAAAAAAAAAAAAAAAAAAAGTTTTCCTTTCCTTATCCTTTCCACCCTGTTCTAATCTCACTGTCAATTTCAACCTGTTCCTATCCATCCCCTGTAGGTAATGGACCTTGTTTTCTGAATAATACTGTGTTTTCTTGTAGTAAAAATGAACATATAAATACATTTTTTTATTGCCTTTTTTTTTTTTTTTTTTTTTTTTGATACGGAGTCTGTCCCCCAGGCTGGAGTGCAGTGGCGTAATCTTTGCTCACTGCAACCTCCGCTTACCAGGTTCAAGCAATTCTCCTGCCTTAGCCTCCTGAGTAGCTGGGATTACAGGCGTGCACCACCACGCCTGGCTAATTTTTATGTTTTTAGTAGAGATGGGGTTTTAGCATGTTGGCCAGGGTGATCTCGAACTCCTGATCTCATGATCCGTCCACCTCGGCCTCCAAAAGTGCTGTGATTACAAGCATGAGCCACCATGCCCAGCTATTACCCATTTTTAAAAAGATGTTATAATATAGATACAATTCTGCCGTTTCTATTGTTGCCTAACAGTTTACTTAGATAGGGACTCCACATAAATTCATAGATGCATCTTCCTTTTCCATCTTCATTTGATAGCTGCATAACTCCTTTTGTGGATGTACCATGTATTCAGCTGCTCTACTACATGTCATTCATTACAGATTTGCAATCACTAACAGGGTTGCAGTTAGTTATCTTGAACATGTGTATTGTATATTTAGAGATTTACATTCAGGACAAATTCCTAGAATTAGGATTTCCGGATTAAATAGATAGCTTGTCAGATATTACCAAATTCTCTGTGCTAGGCAACCTCCAAACTGGCCTCCAGTCTCTGCGTCCTGGTATTTGAGTATTACCCTTGTGTAATCCTCTGATGCTGTACCATGTTGATCTGTGTAACCACTGGAATATGGCAGAAATTCTGGTAAGCCAGCTCTGAAATGAGGTTAGAGAGACCACACATACTGAAGCCCAAATATTTAAAAAAAATCTTCCTTTTTTTTTTTTTTTTTTTTTGAGATGGAGGCTTGCTCAGCCACCCAGGCTAGAGTGCAATGGTGCATGCTCCGCTCACTGCAACCTCCACCTCTCAGGTTCAAGAGATTCTCCAACCTCAGCCTCTTGAATAGCTGGGACTACAGGCGCGTGCTACCATGCCTGGCTAATTTTTTTGTATTTTTAGTGGAGACAGGGTTTCACCATGTTGGCTAGCATGGTTTTGATCTCGTTACCTCATAATCCGCCCTCCTCGGCCTCCCAAAGTACTAGCATGAGCCTCCCAAGTAGCTGGGACTGTAGGCATGAGCTGCCATGCCTGGCTAACTTTGGTATTTTTAGTAGCAACAGGGTTTCACCAGGCTGGCCAGGATGGTCTCCTGACCTCATGATCTGTCCGCCTCAGCCTCCCAAAGTGCTGGGATTACAGGCGTGAGCCACTGCTCCTGGCTGGCTTCTTAAAATTTCTAAAAAGACTAGATATATTTTTGCCTTTTAATAATCAAAATACAAATTTAGGAAAAAATAATTTTTGTGTGAGAATCTTATGTGGTAAATTTTGTCCTAAGGTAACATAATTGGATGTACCAATATAAAAAGAGAAAACTAGGCCGGGCGCAGTGGCTCAAGCGTGTAATCCCAGCACTTTGGGAGGCTGAGGCGGGTGGATCAAGAGGTCAAGAGATCGAGACCATCCTGGTCAACATGGTGAAACCCCGTCTCTACTAAAAATACAAAAAATTAGCTGGGCATGGTGGTGCATGCCTGTAATCCCAGCTACTCAGGAGGCTGAGGCAGGAGAATTGCCTGAACCCAGGAGGTGGAGGTTGCGGTGAGCCGAGATCGTGCTATTGCACCCCAGCCTGGGTAACAAAAGCAAAACTCCGTCCCAAAAAAAAAAAAAAGAGAAAACTATAAGACTGAGGGTTTGAGGCCAGGCATGGTGGCTCACACCTGTAATCCCAGCACTTTGGGAGGCCGAGGTGGGTGAATCACCTGATGTCAGGAGTTCAAGACCAGCCTGGCCAACATGGTGAAACCCCATCTCTAAAACAAAACAAAAAAATGTTTTGTTTAAGAAAATGATTAAACATCTAAACAATTGAATAGGATTTATGAAAGATGGGCCTTACGAACAGTTTATGATTGTGTTGGATAGGATTGAAAAGAAATTGTATATAGGTGTTTTTCCTAAAATTTAAACTGGTTGGCTGGGCGCAGTGGGAGGCTGAGGTGAAAGGATCACAAGGTCAGGAGTTCAAGATAAACCTGGCCAAGATGGTGAAACCCTATCTCTACTAAAAAATACAAAAAAAAAAAACAAATAGCTGGGCATGGTGGCACACACCTGTAATCCCAGCTACTGGGGAGGCTAAGGCAGAGAATTACTTCAACCTAGGAGGCAGAGGCTGCAGTGAGCCAAGATTGTGCCATGCACTCCAGTCTGGGGACAGAGCGAGACTCTGTCACCAAAAAAAGAAAAAATTAAACAATGGTGTTGGGTACACTCATACAGGATCAGAATCTGGTCCTCTATATTGAAAACAAGAAGGTTTGCAGGACACGGTGGCTCACGCCTATAATCCCAGCACTTTGGGAGGCCGAGGCAGGTGGATCACGAGGTCAAGAAATGGATACCATCCTGGTCAACAAGGTGAAACCCCGTCTCTACTAAAAATATAAAAATTAGCTGGGCATGATTGCGCTGGGAGGTTGCAGTGAGCCGAGATCGTGCCATTGCATTCCAGTCTGGGTAACAACAGCAAAACTCCGTCTCAAAAAAAAAAAAAGGTCTTTTTGTTTGTTTGTTTGTTTGTTTTTTTGAGACAGAGTCTCACTCTGTTGCCAGGCGCTAGGCTGGAGTGCAGTTGCACAATCTCAGCTCACTGCAACCTCCACCTCCTGGGTTCAAGTAATTCTCCTGCCTCAGCCTCCTGAGTAGCTGGACTACAGGCACACGCCACCATGCCCAGCTAATTTTTGTATTTTTAGTAGAGACAGGGTTTCACCATGTTGGCTAGGATGGTCTCAATCGCTTGACATCGTGATTCACCCGCCTCAGCCTCCCAAAGTGCTGGCATTACAGGCTTGAGCCACTGCGCTCGGCCAACAAGGTTTTTTTTTTTTGACATATTTATCTGATCTTAAAATGGCAAGACGTTTTGTTTGTTAGCCCTAAAATCAGTTAGCAGCCATCTTCTGAACTCTAGTTTCTATTTCTGCCACATTTTTTCCTGAGATCAATTTAATTTCTGTAGTTTTCAGGTTTCAAATGCTGTCCTCATCATTTAAAAGAGTAATTTCATTAATTGGGTGGAATTTTATACAGTTAAAAAAAATTTGTAGAGATGGTGATATAGTTTGGATATGTGTTCCTACCTAAATCTCATGTTCAACTGTAATTCCAATGTTGAGTCAGGGCCTGGTGGGAGGTGACTGCATCATGGGGTAGTGGGGATTTCTAATGAGTGATTTAGTACTACCCACCTGGGTACTGTCCTTGTGATAGTGAGTTTTTGTCACTTGATTTGGTTGTTTAAAGATATGTAGCACCTCCCCCTCTCTCCTGCTCATGCTTTGGCCATGTGACATGCCTGCTCTTCTGCCTTCTGCTATGATTTTAAGTTTCCTGAGGCCTCCCCAGAAGCCGAAGAGATGCCAGCGACATGTTTCCTGTCCAGTCTGCAGAACTGTAAGCCACAAACCTCTTTTCTTTATAAATTACCCACTGTTAGTTATTTCTTTTTCTTTTTTTTTTTTTTGAGACAGAGTCTGACTCTGTCACTCAGGCTCGAGTGCAGAGTGGTGCAACCTTAGCTCACTGAAACCCCCACCTCCCAGGTTCAAGCGATTCTCTCACATCAGCCTCCCAAGTAGCTGGGATTACAGGCATGTGCCACCATGCCCTGCTAGTTTTTGTATTTTTAGTAGAGACAGGGTTTCACCATGTTGGAAAAGCTGATTTTGAACTCCTGATTCAGGTGATACACCTGCCTCGGCCTCCTCAAGTGCTGGGATTACAGGCATGAGCCACCACGTCCAGCCTTTTTTTTTTTTACTTTTATTCAAAAGGTTGTTCTTTACTCATATGTTTTGTTTTTTTGGAATTAAGAAACTGTTCTATCTTAACTTACCTATAATATACATCTGTTTGATGAAGTATACTTCTTTTTTGAGCCAAGGTCTCACTTCGTCACCCAGGCTGGAGTGCAGTCGTGCTGTAGGTCAGGCAAGCTTCAAATTGGGACTTAGCCCATGAAGGTTCTTGGATATGCCCAAGAAATAATTCAGGGTGAGCTGGTGGTAGAAATCAGCTTTATTGGCCGGGCGCGGTGGCTCACGCCTGTAATCCCAGCACTTTGGGAGGCCGAGGCGGGTGGATCACGAGGTCAAGAGATCGAGACCATCCTGGTCAACACGGTGGAACCCCGTCTCTACTAAAAATACAAAAAATTAGCTGGGCATGGTGGCGCGCGCCTGTAATCCCAGCTACTCGGGAGGCTGAGGCAGGAGAATTGCCTGAACCCAGGAGGCGGAGGTTGCGGTGAGCCAAGATCGCGCCATTGCACTCCAGCCTGGGTGACAAGAGCGAAACTCCGTCTCAAAAAAAAAAAAAAAAAAAAAAAAAAGAAATCAGCTTTATTGAAGCAGTGTCCCCAGCTCTGGTGGTGCAGCTTTGTGATGGCTCCTACGGGGAATCCCATAGGCAGCATGCTGAGAGTAGCAGCCCAGGGCAGTTTTGCAGTCACAGTTATAAGGTATTTCAATTATGCATAGGTTAAGAGGCAGTTTATGCAGAAATTTCTAGGAAAAGGATGGTCTTTTTGGTCATTATGCCGTTGCCATGGAAAGGGATGGTAACGCCTGGATGTTGCCATGACAATGGTAAACTGACAAGGCATACTGGTGGGCGTGTCTTATGGAAAGTTGCTTCTGCCCCATCTGTTTTAGCTAATCCTCAATTTTGTCCAGTGTCTGAGCCCCATCTCTGGAGTCAAATCCTGCCTCCCTCCTCAATGTGATCACTGCTTACTGCATCTTCAGCCTGCTGGTCTCAGGCAATACTCCCACCTCAGCCTCCCGAGTCAGATCAAGGCCATTCTTGCTACCATGGTGAAACCCCGTCTCTACTAAAAATACAAAAAATTAGCAGAGCTTTTTGAGGGGTCAGCCAGGCTGAGGCAGGAGAATCGTGTGAACCCAGGAGGCGGAGGTTGTAGTGAGCCAAGATCGTGCCATTGCACTCCAGCCCGGGCGACAGTGTGACACTCCATATCAAAAAAAAAAGAAAAAAGGTGGATACAATTATGTATCCATACTAATTACACATAAAATGTCATAAAATTAAGAGTAACAAAGCTTTCAAAACTTTGAGTACAACAATTATGTATCCATAATATTAAAAACATTTAATGAGGTAAACTTCATATCAGCAGGTCAAAGGTAGTGTATCAGTCTGTTCTCACACTGCTCTAGACAACTACCTGAGACTGGTTAATTTATAAAGAAAAGAGGTTTAATTGGCTCACGGTTCCACAGGCTGCACAGAAAGCATGGCTGAGGAGGCCTCAGGAAACTTTTTTTTTTTTTTTGAGGCAGTCTTGCTCTGTAGCCCAGGCTGGAGTGCAGTGGCGGGATCTTGGCTCGGGGCAACCTTCGCCTCCTGGGTTCAAGCGATTCTCCTGCCTCGGTCTCCCGAGTAGCTAGGACTACAGGCGTGTGCAACCACGCCCAGCTAATTATTTGTATTTTTAGTCACACAGGGTTTCACCGGGTTAGTCAGGATGGTCTTGATCTCATGACCTCGTGATTCTCCCATCTTGGCTTCCCAAAGTGCTGGGATTACAGGCATGCGCCACCGCGCCCAGCCCAGGAAACTTTCAATCATGGCAGAAAGAGAAGGGGAAGCAGGCAGGACTTTACATGGTGGAGCAGGAGAGAGAGCAAAGTGGGAGGTGCTACACACTTTTAAACCACCAGATCTCCTGAGAACTCTATCGAACTCTATCTCCAGACAGCACTAGGGGGATGGTGCTAAACCATTAGAAACCACCCCCATGATCCAGTCACCTCCTATCAGGGCCCACTTCCAATACTGGGGATTACAATCCGACAGTAGATTTGGGTGGTGACCCACAGCCAAACCACATCAGGTAGCTTCTCTCAATAAGTGGTGCTATAAAAACTGGTCCTCTTTTTGGAGGAAATAAAATTGGATCCACTACTCCACACCACGTGTCCAAATACATTCCATTAAAAGATACCTCAAGTGATCCACCCGCTTTGGCCTCTCAAAGTGCTGGGATTATAGATGTGAGCCACCGCACCCAGCGGCAAAAGATATAAATTTTTTTTTTTTTTTTTTAGACGGAGTTTCGCTGTTGTTAACCCACACTGGAGTGCAATGGCACGATCTCGGCTCACCGCAACCTCCGCCTTCTGGGTTCAAGCAATTCTCCTGCCTCAGCCTCCCGAGTAGCTGGGACTACAGGCACGCACCACCATGCCCAGCTAATTTTTGTATTTTTTTTAGTAGAGAAGGGGTTTCACCTTGTTGACCAGGATGGTCTCGATCTCTTGACCTCGTGATCTACCCGCCTCGGCCTCCCAAAGTGTTGGGATTATAGGCGTGAGCCACCGCGCCCGGCAAAAGATACAAAATTTTAAAATAATACATTTAAAACGAGAAGATGGAAATCCCTATGTCATCTAGAATTTGAAAACACTTTTTAGGCCAGGTGCGGTGGCTCATGCATGTAATCCCAGCAATGTGGGAGGCCAAGGTGGGCGGATCACTTGAGGTCAGGAGTTCAAGACCAGACTGGCCAACATGGCGAAACCCCCTTCTCTACTAAAAATACAAAAATTAGCCGGGCGTGGTGGTACACGCCTGTAATCCCAACTACTTGGGAGGCTGAGGCAGGAAACTCGCTTGAACCTGGGAGACAGAGGTTGCAGTGGGCCGAGATGTTGCCACTGCACAACAGCTTTGGCGACAGAGTGAGACTTAGTCTCAAAAAAAAAAAACAACGCTTTAAACAAGGCAGAAAACCCAGAAACTTAAAAAAAAAAAATTATTTTGGCTGCATAAAAAAGTTTTTTTTACATCAAATGTTGAAATAGTAACATAGCAAAATACGTAGTTATCACTTTTCTAGATACATAACACTTTGGCTCCTTCCCCTATGGCCCGGCCCCTGTGGCCTCTCCCACAGGCCTGGCTGTAACTTCAACCTTGTCCTCTGGACCTCGCCCCACTTTCCTCCCCAGCCCCATCTGGGGACCCGGGCCCCAGCCCCAGCCCCTGCCCCTGCCGGTAGCCCCGCCCGCAGGCCTGGCTGTAACCTCGAAATGCCCTCTAGGCTCCTTTCTGCCTACCGCCGACCCCAAAGTACTCCGCAGCCAAGCAGGAGGGAACTAGAATTCTCTGCCTCGGGAGGGTTCTACCTGGCAGAGGCCCTAGTCTCGAAACCCCACAGGGTTAGAGGCGGGGAGCAGGAAGCGGAAGTTACGTAACAGTGCGCCGTTCCTTCCGTGACGCCGGCTGTTCGCGCTTGAGAGCCTTTTTGCTTTCGGAGTTGGGGCCCATCTGGCGTTGGTGAGTTCCGCGGAGATGAGGTGACGTTGGGTGAAGGACGGGTTTGGCCCGGACCTTAGCGAGGCTTTGCCCGCCTGGCTTGCGTTCGTCGGTGCCGCTTGCTTCCGCTCGGTTCGTCATTCCCCGGGAGGAGCCGGGTCGCTAGTTGCGGTGTCCTCAGGGTGTTTTCATCCACCGCGCTCTCCTCTCCAAAGGTCTCCAAAGCAGCATTTGTGAATTTTTTTCCAGCAGGAAAATGATTTCCGCTTTTTGCATCCACCTTAGCTCCGTCTCCAGGGTCCTCCCGATTCAGGGACCTGGGGATTTTTGTGTTCTGGTAAGCACTGGGTGAAAGTTGTTCTAGGTGGCCTTTTCTGTCTCTTCTTATGCAAATGAATGTTTCATCTGTAAATTTGGTTTCGTCTTTGTGCGTTGTATTTTGTTTTTGATCATTACTTTCATGGAGAAAGATAAAGATTGTTTTTTAGGTTTATAGGGTGTGCATATTTGTGTATGTGAATATAAACGTTTGTAGAGCTCAAGTCTTTCTGTTAAAGAATACTAAGAATAATAACTCATTATCTTCGAATGAAGTTCCTAGGCCTGTACATCCCAAGAGAGCTTTATAAGAATACTAAGAATATGGCCGGGCGCGGTGGCTCACGCCTATAATCTCAGCACTTTGGGAGGCTGAGGCGGGTGGTGGATCACGAGGTCAAGAGATCGAGACCATCCTGGTAAACATGGTGAAACCCCGTCTCTACTAAAAATACAAAAATTATCTGGACGTGGTGGTGCGTGCCTGTAGTTCCAGCTACTTGGGAGGCTGAGGCAGGAGAATTGCTTGAACCCAGGAGGCGGAGGTTGCGGTGAGCCGAGATCGGGCCATTGCACTCCAGCCTGGGTAAGAAGAGCGAAACTCCGTCTCAAAAAAAAAAAAAAAACAAAAAACTAAGAATAATAACTCATTCTCCTCGAATGAAGTTCCTAGGCCTGTACATCCCAAGAGAGCTCCAGCAGGAAAGGATGAAATCTTTATTATTCTAGTATCAGAATGATCAAATTGACAATTAACAGGATGGTTGGATTGTTTTTTCCCCCCATATTTCTCTTTTGAAAAATGTTATAATTTACCATCCAATATCCATTGTAATAGATTCACCCACTTTTAGCATTTTGCCCATTTCCACTCTCCCCAGGTAAATACAGTTTATGGTGAATTAGATCTGCTAGTAAATTGAAAGTAAGTACTAGACATAATACTTGACTAACTACTCGGCATCGCATATGCTAAAGATGAGGACATTGTCTTAGTACAGGTAGAATACTATTATTTCATACAAGAAAATGAAAAACAGTGTTGTGCAATATCTATCTGTTAAAAACGAATCTGGGCCGGGCGCTGTGGCTCATGCCTGTAATCCCAGCACTTTGGGAGGCCAAGGTGGGTGGATTACTTAAGGTTATGAGTTCGAGAACAGCCTGACTAACATGGAGAAACCCAGTCTCTACTACTAATAAAAAATTAACCAGGCGTGGTGATGCATGCCTGTAATCCCAGCTACTTGGGAGGCTGAGGCATGAGAATCGCTTGAACCTGGGACGCAGAGGTTGCAGTGAGCTGAGGTTGGCTATTGCACTCCAGCCTGGGGAACAAGAGGGAAATTCCATCTCAAAAAAAAAAAAAAAAAAAAGAGGGCCAGGCACGGTGGCTCACGCCTGTAATCCTAGCGCTTTGGGAGGCCAAGGCAGGTGGATCACCAGAGGTCAGGAGTTCAAGACCAGCCTGGTCATCACAGTGAAACCCCATCTTTAAAAAAAAGAAAAAGAAAAAGAAAAAAATCTGTACATTTTTCCAAAATAGGGTCTTGGATATTTTTAGATCTAAGATCCCTTAAAATTTTCTATATTGCATTTGTTTACATATTTCAGTTTCTTTGAACTGAGAGGAATTGGAGTTTTCACTTTTTGCAGAGCAACACTTTTTTTTTTTGAGTCTCACTCTGTTGCCCAGGCTGGAACACAGTGATGTGATCTCGGCTCACTGCAACCCCCGCCTCCCAGGTTCGAGCAGTTCTCCTGCCTCAGCCTCCTGAGTATCTGGGATTACAGGCATGCGCCACCATGCCTGGGTAATTTTTGTATTTTTAGTAGGGATGGGGTTTCACCATGTTGGTCAGGCTGGTCTGGAACTCTTGACCTTGTGATCCACCTGCCTTGGCCTCCCAAAGTGCTGGGATTACAGGCATGAGCCACCTCACCCGGCCAAATAAAAGTGAACTTCGATGGAAAAAAATCAACCAGATAAATACTATGAAAAGTTAGTTCTCTGTGAAGATGCACATAACAGACCAATTTGAGGCACAGAACAGTTTGACTTTGCCTTTCTGACAGCACGAGAGGGGTATGCAGATTTGTTTGATTTAAGTGTTTCCAATCAAGGCCCTGTTGAGGCTGTTCAGTACTTAAAGTGTAGTGTGAGTTTTTTTTTTTTAATGTGGGTGTGCAAAAATTGTACTTGAGGCTGGGCACGGAGGCTCACGCCTATAATCCCAGCACTTTGGGAGGCCAAGGTGGGTGGATCACAAGGTCAAGAGATCAAGACCATCCTGGTCAACATGGTGAAACCCCGTCTCTACTAAAAATACAAAAATTGGCCGGGCACAGTGGCTCAAGCCTGTAATCCCAGCACTTTGGGAGGCCGAGGTGGGTGGATCACGAGGTCAAGAGATCGAGACCATCCTTATCAACATGGTGAACCCTGTCTCTACTAAAAATATAAAAAATTAGCTGGGCATGGTGGCGCGTGCCTGTAATCCCAGCTACTCAGGAAGCTGAGGCAGGAGAATTGCCTGAACCCAGGAGGCGGAGGTTGCAGTGAGCCGAGATCGTGCCATTGCACTCCAGCCTGGGTAACAAGAGCGAAACTCAGTCTCAAAAAAAAAAAAAAATACAAAAATTAACTGGGCATGGTGGTGCACGCCTGTAGTCCCAGCTACTCGGGAGGGTGAGGCAGGAGAATTGCTTGAACCCAAAAGGCGGAGGTTGCGGTGAGCCGAGATCGTGCCATTGCACTCCAGTCTGGGTAACAACAGCGAAACTCCATCTCAAAAAAAAAAAAATTGTACTTGAATTCAAGTTCTGGCTTACCACTTCAATTTTCTTTTTTAAAATTTATTTAGAGATAGGGTTTCGCAATGTTGCCCAGGCTGGTCTCAAACTTCGGGGCTCAAGCAGTCCTCTCACCTTGGCTTCCCAAAATGTTGGGATTACAGGCATGAGCTACTGCCCCAGCCAGTGTGTATGTCTGATGACTAATGATTAAGTATGCTGTTGATTATTGATTAATACCAACAGGAATCCCAATAACCCTATATAAAGAGGAATGGAGATTGCTGCTGTCCATTTAGATTAATGAGCTGTCCTGAAGTGATGTTGGCATCAATGAAAGCAGGGTTCTGGCACATTCTCACCTCACAGGATGGCAGCTGTTGATTTGTCCCATGGTAAGGCCTGTTGCTCTTTTTCGGATCCACTGCTCTAGGTTCCCTCTACAGTCCAGTGGTCCGGGCTGCTGGTCACGCTGATGGTTCATTTGGGAGGTGCTGAGGTGGACCAGAGTGTGCTGTTTTGTGAGTCAGCCCCCGCTGGCTGTGAGTTTTGGAAAGAGGTACTGCAGATTCTCCTTCGTGAATTTTTATCAGTAAGATACAGTCATGGGCTCTGGGTGTATGTTTTCTTATCTGTGAAATGAGACTGTTTTAATTTTCCTGGCAGGCAGCATGGCTCATCACCACCTTTAGGTCTGGTGTGGCATTGTATGGCAGCAGGTTGTATGTGTTTTTCCTTTCCTTTTCCTTTTCCCTTTCCTTTCTTCTCTCTCTTTCTTTTCTCTTTCGTTTCATCTTGCTCTTTTGCCCAGGCTGGAGTACAGTGGTGCATTCATAACTCACTGCAGCCTCAAACTCCTGGGCTCAAGCAGTCGTTTCACCTCAGCTTCCCAAGTATCTGGGACTACAGGCGCATACCACCACACCTGGCTGATTAAAAAAATATATAGGCCGGGTGCGGTGGCTCATACCCGTAATCCCAGCACTTTGGGAGGCCGAGGCGAGTGGATCACGAGGTCAAGAGATCGAGACTGGCCGGGTGCGGTGGCTAAAGCCTATAATCCTAGCACTTTGGGAGGCTGAGGCGGGTGGATCACGAGGTCAAGAAATCGAGACCATCCTGGTCAACAAGGTGAAACCCCGTCTCTACTAAAAATACAAAAATTAGCTGGGCATGCTGGTGCACACCTGTAGTGCCAGCTACTCGGGAGGCTGAGGCAGGAGAATTGCCTGAACCCAGGAGGCGGAGGTTGCGGTGAGCTGAGATTGTGCCATTGCACTCCAGTCTGGGTAACAACAGCGAAACTTGGTCTCAGAAAAAAAAAAAAAAGAGAACGAGACCATCCTGGCCAACATGGTGAAACCCCATCTCTACTTAAAAAATAGAAAAATTAGGGCCGGGCGTGGTGGCTTACGCCATAATCCCAGCGATTTGGGAGGCCGAGGCGGGTGGATCACGAGGTCAAGAGATCGAGACCATCCTGGTCAACATGGTGAAACCCCGTCTCTACTAAAAATACAGAAAATTAGCTGGGCATGGTGGTGTGCGCCTGTAATCCCAGCTACTCAGGAGGCTGAGGTAGGAGAATTGCCTGAACCCAGGAGGTGGAGGTTGCGGTGAGCCGAGATCGCACCATTGCACTCCAGCCTGGGTAACAAGAACGAAACTCTGTCTCAAAAAAAAAAACAAAAAAATACAAAAATTTGCTGGGAGTGGTGGTGTGCGCCTGTAGTCCCAGCTACTCAGTGGAGGCTGAGGTAGAAGAATTGCTTGAACCTGGGAGGCGGAGGTTGCAGTGAGCCAAGATTATGCCACTGCACTCCAGCCTGGCGACAGAGTGAGACTCTGTCTCAAAAAACAAAACAAAACTATATATATATATACGTATATATATATATACGTATATATATTTTTTTTTTTTGGAGATGAGGAGGTCTCAGTATGTTGCCCAGGGTGGTCTCGAACTTCTTGGCTCAAGCAATCTTCCTGTGTCAGCCTCCCAGGGAAGTGGGATTACAGGTGTGTGTCACCACATGGAGCTAATCCTTTTTACTTTTTTTTTGAGACAGAATCTTTCTCTGTTTCCCAGGCTGGAGTGCAGTGGTGTGATCTTGGCTCACTACAACCTTCGCCTCCCGGGTTCAGGCGATTTTCCTGCCTCAGTCTCCTGAGTAGCTGGGATTACAGGCTTGCACCACCATGCCTGGCTAATTTTTGTATTTTTAATAGAGACAGGGTTTCACCATGTTGGTCAGGCTGGTCTTGAACTCTGAGATTGTAATCCGCCCACCTCAGCCTCCCAAAGTACTGGGATTACAGGCATGAGCCACTGCACCCAGCCACATTGGGCTAATTTTAAATTTTTTTGTAAAGCAAGGGTCTCACTGTGTTGCCCAGGCTGATCTCAAACTTGTCACCTCAAGCAGTCCTCCTGCCTCAACCTCCCAGAGCACTAGGATTAGTGATGTGAGCCAGTGCAACTGGCCTTATGTGAGTTTTCTTGATTTTACAGGAATATTTGCGAATTTCTTACTAGGAGTAATGACCTCTAGCTAGGTGGATATGGGGATTATGGTCATCTTGGGGCTCTCATGCCTTCCTTTTCTTATAGGACATTATCTTTCTGGGGACCCAGTTTGCCTTCATGAAGAAAAGACAGCAGCAGGAAGGATAGTGGCTGGCTGCCTAACAAATTGTTATCAGGTAAAAAGTAACTGTATCCTCGTACATAGCGACAAACTTGCATCCACTAGGTAGACACATTTCCCTCTAGACAGACTTGTCTCCAGGCTTCTTAAAGCAAATAAAGTTTCACTCAAGGACTGAATCCCCATTTGAATTTCCCCAAGGAATGGGGCCTCCCATATAGGGAGGTGTTAACTTGAAAATCATCCCAGGTTGGGCATGGTGGCTTATGCCCATAATGCTAACACTTCAGGAGCCTGAGGCGGGCAGATTGCTTGAGTACAGGTGTTCAAGACCAGCCTGAGCAACATAATGAGACCCTGTCTACAAAAAATTTAAAAATTAGCTGGACAAAGTGGTGCATGACTATACTCTCACTACTTGGGAGGCTGAAGTGGGAGGATCACTTGAGCCCTGGAGGTTGAGGCTGCAGTGAACTGTGATTGCACCACTGTACTCTAGCCTGGGCAACAGAGTCAGACTGTCTCAAAAAATTTTTTTTAAATTAGAAAAGTAAAGTGTGGTTGGGCGCGGTGGCTCAAGCCTGTAATCCCAGCACTTTGGGAGGCCGAGGCGGGTGGATCACGAGGTCAAGAGATCGAGACCATCCTGGTCAACATGGCGAAACCCCGTCTCTACTAAAAATACAAAAATTAGCTGGGCATGGTGGTGCGTGCTTGTATTCCCAGCTACTCAGGAGGCTGAGGCAGGAGAATTGCCTGAACCCAGGAGGTGGAGGTTGTGGTGAGCCGAGATCGTGCCATTGCACTCCAGCCTGGGTAACAAGAGTGAAACTCCGTCTCAAAAAAAAAGTAAAGTGTCCTGGCCGGGTGCAGTGGCTCATGCCTGTCATCCCAGCACTTTGGGAGGCTGCAGTAGGTGGATCACGACGTCAAGAGTTTGGGACCAGCTTGACGAACACGGTGAAACTCCGTCTCTACTAAAAAATACAAAAATTACCTAGGTGTGGTGGCGCACCTGTAATCCCAGCTACTCAGGAGGCTGAGGCAGGAAAATTACATGAACTTGGGAGGCAGAGTTTGCAGTGAGCCAGGATTGCACCACTGTACTCCAGCCTGGGTGACAGAGTGAGACTAAAAAATAAATAAAGTGTCCTTCGTTCAAGTTGTTTGTTTTTTTTTTTTTTTTTTGAGACGGAGTTTCACTCTTATTACCCTGGCTGGAGTGCAATGGCGGGATCTCGGCTCACTGCAACCTCCTCCTGGGTTCAGGCAATTCTCCTGCCTCAGCCTCCCGAGTAGCTGGGATTACACAGGCATGCGCCACCATGCCCAGCTAATTTTTTGTATTTTTAGTAGAAATGGGGTTTCACCATGTTGACCAGGATGGTCTCGATCTCTTGACCTCGTGATCCACCCGCCTCAGCCTCCCAAAGTGCTGGGATTACAGGCTTGAGCCACCGTGCCCGGCCTGTTCAAGTTGTTTATCAGCATTGATCAGATGTCTGGAATGTGGTGAGCAGTGTGCTCAAATATATGGAAATAAGATGAGATCTTCTAGTCCAGTTGTGCTTGAATTCACATTCAAGAAGTACCACTGGCCGGGCGCGGTGGCTCAAGCCTATAATCCCAGCACTTTGGGAGGCTGAGGCAGGTGGATCACGAGGTCAAGAGATCGAGACCATCCTGATCAACATGGTGAAACCCCGTCTCTACTAAAAATACAAAAAAAACTTAGCTGGGCATGGTGGCGCGTGCCTGTAGTCCCAGGTACTCGGGAGGCTGAGGTAGGAGAATTGCTTCAACCCAGGAGGCAGAGGTTGTGGTGAGCCGAGATCGCGCCATTGCACTCCAGCCTGGGTAATAAGAGCGAAACTCCATCTCAAAAAAAAAAAAAGTACCATTAAAGGCCTATGAGTGGAGGAGATGACAGTGAGTGTGTTTATGGAGAGAGGAGTTTCTAGGACCCTTAAACCCTGGAGTCGGTAATTAGAGTCCCTGGATTCCTGTATAGGCATTGCGTCCCCCTTCCTTATTCTCCAGTGAGTGCTGATGGACATGTTACTTGGCTCCAACCAGCATATGTGTGATACTTTAGGATTCAGTGACCTTTGACGATGTGGCTGTGGACTTCACCCAGGAGGAGTGGACTTTACTGGACCCAACTCAGAGAAGCCTCTACAGTGATGTGATGCTAGAGAACTACAAGAACCTGGCCACAGTAGGTAAGACTGGCATCATCCCTGGCAGCCTCCTATGGGACTGATAGAGGTTTTGTGCTTACTGTGTTGCAGCATTAGCAATGTCAATTCCGAACACAAAGAGAAATAACAGAGACATAGTCACTATCCTAAATAGGTTTTAATCTGTCACCACTCTCAAAATGTGGTCCAAGATTAACAGCAACACCATTTGTTAGAAATGTACATTTTCAGGGCCGGGCGCGGTGGCTCAAGCCTGTAATCCCAGCACTTTGGGAGGCCGAGGCGGGTGGATCACGAGGTCGAGAGATCGAGACCATCCTAGTCAACAAGGTGAAACCCCGTCTCTACTAAAAATACAAAAAATTAGTTCGGCATGGTGGCGCATGCCTGTAATCCCAGCTACTCAGGAGGCTGAGGCAGGAGAATTGCCTGAACCCAGGAGGCGGAGGATTCGGTGAACTGAGATCGCGCCATTGCACTCCAGCCTGGGTAGCAAGAGCGAAACTTCATCTCAAAAAAAAAAAAAAAAGAAATGTACATTTTCTGCCAGGCACAGTGGTTCACACCTGTAATCCCAGCACTTTGGGTGACTGAGGCAGGCAGATTACCTGAGAGCAGGAGTTTGAGACCAGCCTAGCTAACATGGTGAAACCCCATCTCTACTAAAAATACAAATGTTAGCTGGGCATGGTGGCGCATGTCTGTAGTCCCAGCTACTTGGGAGGCTGAGGCAGAAGAATCACTTGAACCTAGGAGGAAGAGGAGTTGCTATGAGCCCAAGGTAATGCCACCGCACTCCAGCCTGGGCAGCAGCAAGACTCCGTCTCAGAAAAAAAAAAGTACATTTTTATTCTCCACCCAGAAACCTGGAGTTGGAGCCCAGTCATCTGTGTTTCATCCAACAAGTCCTGTAGATGACTGTGATGCTTAATAATGTTTTGAAAACCACTGGTGTAGTCGTTTCCCCAGGAGAAGGAGGATCTCTTTGTTATACGTTCTTATTTCGTATTTTTGTTGTTGTTTTGAGTCACAGTTTCATTCTTTTGCACAGGCTGGAGTGCACTGGCTTGATCTCAGCTCACTGCAACCTCTGCCTCCTGGGTTCTAGCGATTCTTGTGCCTCAGCCTCCTGAATAACTGGGATTACAGGTGTGCACCACCATACCTGGCTATTTGTGTGTGTGTGTGTGTGTGTGTGTGTGTGTGTGTTTGGTGTTTCACCATGTTGGCTAGGCTGGTCTTGAACTCCTGACTTCAAGTGATCCACCTGCCTCAGCCTCCCAAAGTGTTGGGATTACAGGCATGAGCCACCGCACCTGGCTGTTATTTTGTGTTTGAATAAAAGTTGTAATGCTTTTTAAATATGTATGTAAGCCTGAATTTTGGTTTTAGGGGAAAGAAGTAACCAGACTGTTTGGGGCACAGACAGGTGTTATTTGCATTTTTAGCCCTTCTGAAATAACTTCGCCACTTTCATCAGATCTGTAGTTCCTGAACCATAGAAAGGTTTGTAATCTCTTTGTGTGTGTGTGTGAACCAAATATTTATTTCTTCATTTCTTGCATTTGAAGTACTCTTCAGGCCGGGCGTGGTGGCTCAAGCCTGTAATCCCAGCACTTTGGGAGGCCGAGGCGGGTGGATCATGAGGTCAAGAGATCGAGACTATCCTAGTCAACATGGTGAAACTCCGTCTTTACTAAAAATACAAAAAATTAGCTGGGCATGGTGGCCCGTGCCTGTAATCCCGGTTACTCAGGAGGCTGAGGCAGGAGAATTGCCTGAACCTGGGAGGCGGAGGTTGTGGTGAGCCGAGATCGCGCCATTGCACTCCAGCCTGGGTAACAAGAGCGAAACTCCGTCTCAAAAAAAAAAAATAAAAAAAAAGAAGTACTCTTCAATGACATCCTTGGCCTGAGACTCCTTGACATAGTCTTAACTACTACTCAACTGCAAGCAACCGCTTTATGGGGCTTCCCCTCTCTGCCATTTTTAGAGAGGCCGACCCATTCCCCTAGTTGCTTGTTGTCGTCAGCCTTAATTAGGTTGATTTGGTGTTCAGCACAAAAGGCCTCCACCAACTTGACATACATAGGCTCATCACAGGTAGACGCAAGCACACAAAGCTTACTTGCGTAAGGCTTTGGCAGCTTCGCAGATTCCACGTGCCAGGCCGTCCTGGATGAGGGCAGTCTTCAGCACCTCTTGTAAAGCGGTATTGATGTCCATTACACCTCCAGCAGCAATTTCTTCCTCAGTCATGGCAGTGGGTTGCGGGTGAAGCCGAATCTTGAACGCACCCAAGCCTCCGCCTCTGCATGACCTGGTGGCAGCAAGGAAAGAGCAGTTTGTAATCGTTTGTATGAGCCTCTTCCATCAATGTCTTTTTCTGTACTCAGGAGGTCAGATCATCAAACCCAGTCTGATCTCTTGGTTGGAACAAGAAGAAGAGTCAAGGACAGTTCAGGGAGGCGTTCTCCAAGGTGAGTGTTTATGAAGAACAACTCTGGTTGATGAGAAGGTCACTATGTGTGGAAGCAAAATTAGGAAACTTTTTTTTTGAGCTGGAGTTTCACTCTTATTGCCCAGGCTGGAGTGCAATGGTGCAATCTTGGCTCACTGCAACCTCCACTTCCCGGGTTCAAGCAATTCTTCTTTCTCAGCTTCCCGAGTAGCTGGGATTACAGGCGAGTAGCTGGGATTACAGGTGCCTGCCACCATGCCTGGCTAATTTTTGTATTTTTAGTAGAGGTGGGGTTTCTCCATGTTGGTCAGGCTAGTCTTGAACTCCTGACCTCAGGTAATCCACCCACCTCGGCCTACCAAATTCCTAAATTTACAGGCATGAGCCACCATGCTTGGCCTAGGAAACTTTCTAACATGTATTTTCTCTCTGCAGGTTTAGATAAAGTTAGGAAGTATCTAACTTCCCACACACTTTTACTTACAGAACAGTCCCCCCTTGTCTGTGATTTGATTTTTCACTGTTTGAGTTATCTACAGTCAACCATGGTCCAAAAAATATTAAATGGAAAATTCAGCCAGGGACAGTGGCCCATGCCTGTAATCCCCACACTTTGGACGGCCTAGGTGGGGCGAATCATTGAGCCCAGGAGTTCGAGACCAGCCTAGGCAATATACTGAGAACCTTGTTTCTACAAAAAATAGAAAAATTAGCTGAGGGTGGTGGGACACACCTGCTGTCCCAGCCACTCAGGAGACTGAGCTTTGAGGATTGATTGAGCCTGGGAGGTCAAGGCTGTGATGAGATGTGATTATACCACTGCACTCCAGCCTGGGTGACAGAGTGAGATCCTGGCCACTGCCCCACTACCCCGCAAAAAAAAAAAAAAAAATTTTTTTCAGAAATAAAACAACATTCAAAGTTTAAAATTTTTCACTGTTCTCAGTAGTATGATGAAATCTTATGTCATCCTGCCTGGCATGTGAATCACCCTTTTGTCCATATATCCACACTGTGTACACCACCTGTCAGTCACATAATGGCCATTTCAGTTACTAGGTTGAAAAATCATAGTATGTATATACAGGGTTCAGAACTAGCCATGATCTCAGGCATCCACCTGGGGTCTTAAAACATTTTTTTTTTTTTTTTTGAGACAGAGTTTCACTGTTGTTACCCAGACTGGAGTGTAATGGCACGATCTCGGCTCACCGCAACCTCCGCCTTCTGGGTCCAAGCAATTCTCCTGCCTCAGCCTCCCAAGTAGCTGGGACTACAGGCATGCACCACCATGCCCAGCTAATTATTGTATTTTTAGTAGAGACGGGGTTTCATCTTGTTGACCAGGATGGTCTCGATCTCTTGACCTCATGATCCACCCGCCTAGGCCTCCCAAAGTGCTGGGATTATAGGCGTGAGCCAGCTCCCGGCAAAACATTTCTTTTCTTCTTTTTTTTTTTTTTTTTTTTTTTGTGACAGTTTTTCTCTTGTTGCCCAGGCTGGTGTGCAATGGCGTGGTCTTGGCTCACTGCCACCTCCACCTCCCAGGTTCAAATGATTCTCCTGCCTCTGCCTCCCAAGTAGCTGGGATTATAGGCACCCAGCACCACACCTGGCTAATTCATTTTTAGTAGCAATGGGGTTTCATTATGTTGACCAGGCTGGTGGTGAACTCCTGACCTCAGGTGATCCACCCACCTTGGCCTCCTCCCGAAGTATTGGGATTACAGGCATGAGCCACTGTGCCCAGTCAGCACATTTCCTTAAGTCAATTTTTGTTATACACTTTTTCAGAAATTTCCTACTTTAACTTCCTGATACTCTCTATTGACTATCAGTTTGTTTTTTTTTCCTAAGACAATTAAGGTACATCTGTAGGAATCACTATCAGTTTTAATTTTCATAGCATCAATTTGTAATAAACGTTCCAAAATTTTTACTTGTGTCCTTTGTCTTAGCCAGTTTTTCCCCCTTTGGATCATTTACATCAAAACCAAATTTTTGTTGTAGCCCAAATCCCCAAATCTCTTTCTGTTTTTTTTTGCCATGTTTAATTTGAAAAAAGTAGAAATGAGCCTTATTGTTTTCAACTCTTTCAATTTCTTTTCATTTGTTTCCCCCAAATCAAACTTTCATTTGTCATTGTTGTTCACTCTGTCGCCAAGGCTGGAGTGCTGTGGTGTGGTCCCAGCATCCTCTGCCTCCCAGGTTCAAGAAATTCTCCTGCCTCAGCCCCCTGAGTACCTGGTGCTCACCATCACACGCAGCTAACTTGTATTTTTAGTAGAGACGGGGTTTCACCACGTTGGCCAGGCTGGTCTCCAACTCCTGACCTCAAGTGATCTGCCTACCTTGGCCTCCCAAAGTGCTGGAATTAGAGGCATGAGCTACCTCACCTTGCCTAAGTCCTTTTATTTGTTTTTTTGTTTTATTTCAGGATGGGAATTGCAGCTTGAAACCCAATGGTCTACACTTCAGCAGAACTGTTTGAGGGGTCAGACATCCATTGGGGTACAATTGGTAAGATTTGCAAGGGGTAGTTTTCCATCCTCAGAGAAAATCAGGAATTCTGTTACGGAAAGTCAGCAAAAATAAGAGGTATTTCAGAGAAGTTGCATACACACGAGAGAGTGATGTTGAGTTTGGGGATGCTCCAAATGTATCGTGAAACTTGTTTCTTCAGAGCTTCTTCACGTTTCCACATATGGAACTAGACATTGAGTTTTGTTTTGGTGCTTTTTGACACAGGGTCTTGCTGTCACCCAGGCTGGAGTGCAGTGGTGTAATCATGGCTCATTATAGTCTTGACCTCCTAGGCTTAAGTGATCCTCCTACCTCACCCGCCCGAGTAGCTGGACTATAGGTGTGCACCACCACACCCAGCTAATTCTTTAAATTTTTTGTAGATATAGGCTCTTGCTGTGTTGCCCAGACTAGTCTTGAGCTCCTGTGCTCAAGTGATCCTCCGCCTCAGTTTACCAAAGTGCTGGGATTACAGGCATGAGCTACCACATCTGGCTTAGACTTGCAATTAAAAAAAAAATTTTTTTATTTGAGATGGAGTTTCGCTCTTGTTACCCAGGCTGGAATGCAATGGTGCAATCTCAGCTCACCGCAACCTCCGCCTCCTGGGTTCAAGCAATTCTCCTGCCTCAGCCTCCCGAGTAGCTGGAACTACAGGCATGTGCCACCAAAAAAAAAAAAAAATTTTTTTTTTTGTTGAGAAAAGGTCTTGCTGTGTCAGTCAGGCTGGAGTGCAGTGGTACAAACACGGCTCACTGAAGCCTTGACGCTTTGGCTCAAGTGATCTTCCCGCTTTAGCTTCTTACACAGTTGGGACTATGGGAACATACCACCATGCCCAGCTATTTTTTAAATATTTTTTGTAGAGATAGGATTTCATCATGTTGCCCAGGCTGTCTCTAATTCCTAGGTTCAAACGATCCACCCACTTTGGTTTCCCAAAATGCTGGAATTACAAATGTGAGCCACTGCACCCATCTAGACATTGAATTTTAAAAACAGTACCTCAGAATTCTACAGCAATCCGTTATCATTATTATTATTATTTGAGACAGAGTTTTGTTCTTGTTGCCAGGCTGGATTGCAGTGGCTCAATCTTGGTTCACTGCAACCTCTGCCTCCTGGGTTCAAGCGATTCTCCTACCTCAGCCTCCCAAGTAGCTGGGATTATGGGCATGTGCCACCACGCCCGGCTAATTTTGTATTTTTAATAGAGATGGGGTTTCTCCATGTCGGTGAGGCTGGTCTGGCACTCCCAATCTCCCTCAGGTGATCCACCTGCCTCGGCCTCCCAAGTGCTGTGATTACAGGCATGAACCACAGCACCAAGCCTATGATTACTATAATTTTGAGACGGAGTCTTGCTTTCTTGCCCAGGCTGAAGTACAGTGACACCATCTTGGCTCACCGCAACCTCTGCCTCCCAGGTTCAAGCAATTCGATTCTCATGCTTCAGTCTCCCACATAGCTGGGATCATAGGTGTGTGCCACCACACCCAGCTAATTTTTGTATTTTTAGTAGAGACAGGGTTTCACCATGTTGGCCAGGCTGTTCTTGAACTCCTGACCTCATGTGATCTGCCCCCCTCGGCCTCCCAAACTGCTGAGATTACAGGCCTGGCCAAGATTAAAGTAGATGGCACAGCATTCTAGAATAAGAGTTACGTCATACCACTTAAAATAAATCTACAGGGCAGGACCTGAATGCATGTAATAAAAATGCCATAAATTATAATCATTATTATAATAATGTTTTTAGAATCAGATGGGTGCATTCTGTTAATATGTTTGATAAAATTCTTATCCCTTCAACAGGAAGGAAACCACAATGGAGGGAAACTTTTGGACTGTGAGCAAGGTGGAGAAGTCTTCAGTGAACACTCATGCCTTAAGATGCACATGAGAACTCAAAGTACAGGGAACACTCATGACTATGATCAGTATGGAAAAGATTTCCTTATTCTGCATGAGAAAACCTCTACTGGTGAGAAACTGTCTGAGTTTAATCAGAGTGAAAAAATCTTTAGCCTGACACCAAATATTGTATGCCAGAGAACTAGCATACAAGAAAAGTCGTTTGAATGTAGTCACTGTGGAAAATCCTTCATTAATGGGTCATACCTTCAGGCACATATGAAAACTCACAATGGAGCAAAACTCTGTGAATGGAATGGGCCAGGTTTTATTGACTCCACAAACCTTTCAGTGCTTATAGAAACCCTCAATGCAAAAAAGCCCTATAAATGTAAGGAATGTGGAAAAGGCTATAGATACCCAGCCTACCTCAGTATTCACATGCGAACCCACACTGGGGAGAAACCCTATGAATGTAAGGAATGTGGGAAAGCCTTCAATTATTCCAATTCATTTCAGATACATGGAAGAACTCACACTGGAGAGAAGCCGTATATATGTAAGGAATGTGGCAAAGCCTTCACTCAGTACTCAGGCCTTAGTATACATGTACGATCTCATAGTGGAGACAAACCTTATGAATGTAAGGAATGTGGGAAATCCTTCCTTACATCCTCACGCCTTATTCAACATATCAGAACTCACACTGGAGAGAAGCCTTTTGTGTGTGCCGAATGTGGGAAAGCCTTTGCAATTTCCTCAAATCTTAGTGGACACTTGAGAACTCACACTGAAGAGAAGGCCTGTGAGTGTAAGATATGCGGGAAAGTATTCGGGTATCCCTCATGTCTTAATAATCACATGCGAACGCACAGTGCCCAGAAACCATACACCTGTAAGGAATGTGGGAAGGCTTTTAACTATTCCACCCACCTTAAAATTCACATGCGAATCCACACTGGAGAAAAACCCTATGAGTGTAAACAATGTGGAAAGGCCTTCAGTCATTCCAGTTCATTTCAAATACATGAAAGGACTCACACTGGAGAGAAGCCCTATGCGTGTAAACAGTGTGGGAAAGCCTTCATATGTTCCAGTTCCTTTAGAATTCATGAAAAAACACACATGGAAGAGAAACCCTATAAATGTCAGCAGTGCGGAAAAGCTTACAGTCATCCTCGTTCACTTCGAAGACACGAACGAACTCACTAGTGAGAAACTGTCCATGTAATAAATGCAGGAAAGCTCTAATTTGTTCTGATTCACTTCAAAGACATGAATGAACTCACACTGGAGAGAAAAAACTATGAAAATTATTTAATTCCTGTAATCCCAGCACTTTGTGAGGCTGAGGTGGGTGGATCACTTGAGGTCAGGAGTTTGAGACCAGCCTGACCAGCATGGTGAAACCCTGTCTCTACTAAAAATTAAAAAAAAAAACAAAACCCAGGTGTGGTGGCAGGTGCCTCTAATCCCAGCTACTTGGGCGACTGAGACAAGAGAATAGCTTGAACCCAGGAGGCAGAGGTTGCCGTGAGCAGACATCGTGCCACTGCACTCCAGCCTGGGCGACAGAGTAAGACTTCATCTCAAAAACAAAAGGTATTTGATTAAATTGAGACTGCCATCCCTATAAGAAGAGAAAGATACAAGTGGGACAACAAATACAGGAAATGACATGAGGTCATCAGATGATGTCCATCTGCAAGCCAAAGACGGAAGGCTGGAACAGATCCTTCTATCAAGGCCACCAACCTTGCTTGCTGACGCATTGATCTTGGCCTTCCAGAACTTGGAGCAAATAAACTTCTTTTGTTTGAGCCACACATTCTGGTGTTTTGTTGTGGCGGCTCTAGCAGGTGAATATGGTAAGCAATAAGCAAAAACATTTATAGATTGTCCAAAAGCCTTAATATTTACATGCAAAGCCACACTGGAGAGAAACTATATGAATGTAAGGCGTGGGAAAACCTTCATTGAGTCTTCAGTTCTTTCTACACACAGGAGAAGTTACATAGGAGAGAAATTGTATGAATGTAAGGCACATGAAAAAGCCTGTGAATGTTCGCTCTACTTTAATATTCACATACAAGTTGTCTGGTCATAGACCATGTGAAAATGGGGGGGGGGGAAGGAAAGTTTCTTTTACTGTAAACTAAGGAATCTGTGACCTTATACACCATATTGGAACTTGGAGCAGACCGAGACCCTATTAGGATTGTAGAAGCGCGTACATTAATGTTTTCTACCTTCTAGAAGGTGTAAGAAGTTGAACTGGAGAGAAGCCTTCTCCCTGTAATACATGTAGGAGGCCTTACATTAACTCCACAGAATGTTTTTTTTTACACATCTAAAATTACCTCAAAACCCTGGGAAGGTAAGGAATGTGGTATAACCTTTAAATATTTTACACACCATAATATTTACATGAATTCTCATATTTATACTACTGTACTGTTTCATGAGTAGTGTTAGTACCTTATACTATCAAAATATTCTAAATCCTCCCTCTCAGACCTTCCGCCATTACTATATTCCACTTATCTGCATATGCACACGCACAAAACTAGCATATGTCATCTAGTACATTGTAGCTATTTTTCAGAAGTTGTCTGTTCAATTAAGAATTACAAAAATGAACATTTTTATTTTACCTTCACTTCCTTCTGTGCTCAAAGTTGGATGTAATTCTTGCACTTGATCCTCAAAACATAAAGCATTTTTTCCTTCTGGCTTCTTTGAGAATCTTTTGATATCTGATATTCTGTTATTTTAAAATGATATGCCTAGGTGTAGGTTTTTTTGGTGCTTGTCCTGCTTGGTGTTTGCTTAGCCTTCTGGATTTGTGTTTTGGTGTCCGAGTTAATTTTGAGAAATTCAGTCATTATTGTTTCAAATATTTTTTTTCCTTTTTTTTTCTTTCCATCTGGTGTTTTGTTTATATGTAAGATACAACTTTGTGGGTATCCCACAGTTCTTATGTCTTGGTTTTTTTATTCTTGGTTCTCTTTGCTTTTCAGTTGTGGATGTTTTACTGCTCTCTGCTCAAGCTCTTTAGTTGGCTGTTTCCTAGCCAATAATGTGCCTGCTAAAGGCATCCTTCACTTTCTGTTACACTGTCGGCAATCTCTGGCATTTATTTGTGATTCTTAGAATTCTGTCTCTATATTTACACCGCCCATCTGTTCTTGGATGCTGTTTGCTTTATCCATTAGAACCCAGGACAAGGCTGGGCACGGTGGCTCACGCCTATAATCCCAGCACTCTGGGAGGCCGAGGCAGGTGGATGGATCACAAGGTCAAGAGATCGAGACCATCCCGGTCAACAAGGTGAAACCCCATCTCTACTAAAAATACAAAAATTAGCTGGGCATGGTGGTGCGTGCCTGTAGTCCCAGCTACTCGGGAGGCTGAGGCAGGAGAATTGCTTGAACCCAGGAGGCGGAGGTTGCGGGGAGCCGAGATCGCACCATTGCACTCCAGCCTGGGTAATGAGCGAAACTCCGTCTCAAAAAAAAAAAACCAAAAAAAAAACCAGGACATACCAATCATAATTTTTTAAAATTCTTAGTCTGATAATTTCAACAATCTTGCTATATCTGGTTCTGGTTCTTACTCTTCTCTTTAAACTAACTTTTGCCTTTTAGTATGCTTGCAATTTTTCTGTAGTTGGACGTGGCATACCAGATAAGAGGAACTGCTGTAAATAGGCCTCTAGTAATGGTGGCAAGTTGTGGGGAGAGCAGCAGTGTTCTATTGTTCAGTCATTAGATGCCAGCCTTTTAGTGAGTCTGTGCCACTGCACTGTGAACTTCATAGTTTTTCCCACCCTTTAGTTGGGTCAGGATGTATAGAGTTGGCTGGAGTTGGTTATTTCCTTCCTTCAGGTCACTGAAGCTCTCATTAAAACCCAGAAGATTGGCTGGGCGTGGTGACTCATGCCTGTTATCCCAGCACTTTGGGAGGCAGAGGTGGGTGGATCACCTGAGGTCAGGAGTTTGAGACCAGCCTGACCAATGTAAAGAAACACCCATCTCTACTAAAAATACAAAATTAACTGAGTGCGGTGGCACATGCCTGTAATCCCAACTACTTGGAAGGCTGAGGCAGGAGAATCTCTTGAACCCAGGAGGTAGAGGTTGCAGTGAGCCGAGATTGTGCCTTTGTACTCCAGCCTGAGCAACAACCATCTCAAAAAAAAAAAAACAAAAAAAAGAAACAGAGTTTTCTTCTTTTTTTTTTTTTTGAGATGGAGTTTCGTTCTTGTTACCCAGGCTGGAGTACAATGGCACGATCTCAGCTCACTGCAACCTCCGCCTCCTGGGTTCAGGCAATTCTCCTGCCTCAGCCTCCTGAGTAGCTGGGATTACAGGCATGCACCACCATGCCCAGCTAATTTTTGTATTTTTAGTAGAGACGGGGTTTCACCATGTTGACCAGGATGGTCTTGATCTCTTGACCTCATGATCCACCCGCCTCGGCCTCCCAAAGTGCCGGGATTACAGGCATGAGCCACCACGCCTGGCCCCCCCCGCCTTTTTTTTTTTTTAAGACAGGGTTTCACCATGTTGGCCAGGCTGGTCTTGAACTCCTGACCTCAGGTGATCCGCTCGCCTCAGTCTCCCAAAGTGCTGAGATTACAGGCGTGAGCCACCACGCCCAGCCAAAAAGCAGATTTTTCTCTGGTGAACTAGTTTCTCCTGATGGCAGGCCTTGTTATGAAGAGAGCACTCTCTTTCACATTCTTAGCTAAGAGCATAAGGGGATTTTTCTCTGATATTGACTGTGTTGAAAACCTGTTGCAGCTCCTGGAGGTAAAACAAAGTGTAGATAGCCCCTCCCTCCATGATGGTTTGCCCTGCAGCCCCGTTACTCTTACACATCTGGGAAGAGTTGTTGATTTTTGAGGCTGTTCATCTTTTTAGTTCTTTCTGGGATCAAGTGACAAAATTCCCTTTTTTTTTTTTTTGAGACGGAGTCTTGTTTTGTTGCCCAGGCTGGAGTGCAGTGGAGTGATCTCGGCTAACCACAACCTCTGCCTCCCAGGTTCAAGTGATTTTCCTGTCTCAGCCTCTGAAGTAGCTGTGAAAACAGGCATGTCCTACCATGCCCAGCTAATTTTTGTATATTTAGTGGAGATGGGATTTTACCATGTTGGCTCTTGATCTCTTGACCTCATTATCCACCCACGTTGGCCTCCTAAAATGCTGGGATTACAGTTGTGAGCCACTGCACCCAGCCAAATTCCTTTTTTTATATCAACAGCCAGACAGAGTGGCTCATGCCTGTAATCCTAGTGCTCTGGGAGACCAAGCTGGGTGGATTACTTGAGGCCAGGAGTTTGAGACCCGTCTGGCCAATGTGGTGAAACCAGGTCTTTACTAAAAATACAAAAATTAGCCAGGCATAGTGGCAGGCACCTGTAATCCCAGCTACTTTGGATGCTAAGGCAGGAGAATCGCTTGAACCTGTGAGGCAGAGGTTGCAGTGAGCTGAGATCATACCATTGCACTCCAGTCTGGGCAACAGACTGAGACTTAGTCTCAAAAATAAAACAAAACAAAAAAAACTCAGCTTGACCAACATGGTGAAACCCTTTCTCTACAAAAAATACAAAAGTCAGCCGTGTGTGGTGGCAGGCGCCTGTGATGCCAGCTCCTCGGGAGGCTGACATGAGAATCACTTGAATACAGGAGGTAAAGGTTGCAGTGAGCTGAGATTGTGTCACTGCACTCCAGCCTGGGCAGGAGACACATTGTCTCAAAAATACGTAAAAAGAAGCCATCATCAATACTCAGCCCTTCTTAAATAAGGACTCACAGTGGACAGCCCTGTGAATGTAAGAAATACTGAGAAGCCAGCACTAGTTAGTTACTCAAAGCTTAATGAATGTGAGAATTTACTCTGGAGAAATGCCCTTTCAGTGTAAGAAATGTTGGAAAGGATTTAGATAAGCCTTCCTTTTTAATATCCACATGCCTATTCACTGGAAAAAACCCCTAAAAATGTAAAGCAATATTGAAAAACCTACAGTTATTCTAATTCATTTCAAATATGTGAACTCACAGTGTATGGAAACCCTGTGAATGTTAGTAGTATGATCATTCATACTTTTTTTTTTTTTTTTTGAGACAAAGTCTCACTCTGTCACCCAGGCTAGAGTGCAATTGCGTGATGTCAGCTCACTGCAGCCTCTGCCTCCCAGGTTCAAGTGATTCTCCTGCCTCAGTCTCCCAAGTAGCTGGGATTACAGGTGCATGCCACTGCACCCAGCTAATTTTTTTGTATTTTTAGTAGAGACGAGATTTCACCATGTTGTTCAGGCTTGTCTTGAACTCCTGACCTCAGATGATCCACCTGCCTCAGCCTCCCAAAGTGCTAGGATTATAGGCATGAGCCACCATGCCTGGTCAAATTCTTCAATTCTTTTTTTTTTTTTTTTGAGATGAAGTTTTGCTTTTGTTACCCAGGCTGGAGTGCAATGGCATGATCTTGGCTCACCACAACCTCCACCTCCTGGGTTCAGGCAATTCTCCTGCCTCAGCCTTCTGAGTAGCTGGGATTACAGGCATGCGCCACCATGCCCAGCTAATTTTTTGTATTTTTAGTAGAGACAGGGTTTCACCATGTTGACCAAGATGGTCTCGATCTCTTGACCTCGTGATCCACCCGCATCGGCCTTCCAAAGTGCTGGGATTATAGGCGTGAGCCACCGCACCCGGCAATTCTTCAATTCTTTTTTTTTTTTTTTTGAGACGGAGTTTCGCTCTTGTTACCCAGGCTGGAGTGCAATGGCGCAATCTCGGCTCACCGCAACCTCCGCCCCCTGGGTTCAGGCAATTCTCCTGCTTCAGCCTCCTGAGTAGCTGGGATTACAGGCACGCGCCACCATGCCCAGCTAATTTTTTTGTAATTTTAAGTAGAGACGGGGTTTCACCATGTTGACCAGGTCGGTCTCGATCTGCCGACCTCGTGATCCACCCGCCTCGGCCTCCCAAAGTGCTGGGATTACAGGCTTGAGCCACCGCGCCCGGCCTCTTCAATTCTTATAGTCCCTTTTCATATACTTAAAAAACTCACTGAGGAGAAACCTTATCAGTGTTAGAATTGTGGGAAAGCTCTCTGTGGTTCCCATTTACATGAAACGTGAACAAAGTCACACTGTAGAGAAATGCTATGGGAGTTAATGTGGAACCACTTCTTTATTATCTCAGGTCATAATGAACATGTAAGAATTCACAGTGGCAGGAAACCCTACGTATATGGAAAATGTGGGAAAGGCTTCATTTACTCCTTAGGACTGATACCACAAAACTCCCACTAGGAGAAAACCTATGACTGTAAGGAATGTGGGAAAATCTTTGCTTCTCATGTCAGGTACATGTCAGGATTCCCAGTGGTGAGAAGCCATATTGATGTAAGGAATGTGGAGAAGCCACACTGCTACTCAGTCCTTGATAAACATTTTAGAACTCAAACTGGAGAGAAACTGAATTCAAGGAGTGTGGGAAATTTTTTTTTTTTTTTTGCTGGAGTCTTTGTTTCCCAGGGTGGAGTGCAGTGGCATGATCTTGGCTCACTGCAACCTCCGCCTCCTGGGTTCAAGTGATTCTCCTGCCTCAGCCTTGTGGGTAGCTGGGACTATAGGCATGCACCACTATGCCCAGCTAATTTTTTTGTATTTTTAGTAGAGATGGGGTTTCACTGTGTTAGCCAGGATGGTCTCGATCTCCTGACCTCATGAT